ATCCAGGGTGTCATCGATCCTAGGTAGAGGGTAGCTGTCCTTCTTCGTCACGTTGTTCAGCTGACGAAAATCGACGCAAAATCGAGTTGATCCATCCTTTTTCTTAACTAACACCACTGGGGAAGACCATGGGCTGTTGGATGGTTCGATCACCCCTTCCTTCTCCATTTCTTGTACAATTTTATCAGCTTCCTCTCGCTTGGCAAGTGGTAGCCTTCTTGCCGACTGTCGAATGGGCTGTGCATCACCGGTGTTAATTTTATGCTGGACAATTCTTGTCCTACCCTTCTTTCCTTGTCCGTCGTCAAAGACATCCTGATAATTGTGTATCAGCTCTTTCAGCTTTATTCTCTCATTTGGTTTTAAGTCCTTTGAAGAAGTCGAAAGCAGAGTCGTCAATTCATTGCTAATTTTCTTGGCCGGAACTCCAGACTCACGAATGCTTCTAATAATTGAGGAAACTGAGGAACAGTTCCCCAAAACGATTCCTTTTTTCAAGTTCACAGAGTAACCATTAACATTCAATACTCTTACAGGCACTTCTTTTCCGACACGTATTAAAGTCTTCCCTACTACAACTCCTCGACCGACCTCTTTGTCATCAATTTTCGGCTCCAGAAGCATTATACTTCCATCTTCTGATTTACAATCCAAGAAAGCCTTCAATATCATCTCGCTGTGTTCCGGTATTAAAGCATCTTCTGTTAGCATTACACGAATATTCTTTTCTTTTGATCGATGCAACACGACTTCTTCTCCATTTACTCTCAATATTCCTTGTTGAAAGTTTAGTTCAAATCCTATAGAGTTCATAATGTCCATGCCTACAATAACTTCATCTTCAATATCTGCTACTAATGCTCGATGTTTAAATTTCGTGTTTCCTATGACCATAGTGATGTCCACTTCTCCATGAACAGTAGCAGTATCTCCTGTTGCAGTACGTAGTCGCCGATTGGTAGATTTTATTTTCGACTTTTCGACAATATCTGGCCGAATAATTGTCTTCGTCGCACCTGTATCCAGCAGCAGCACATGTAACTTTCCATTAATAAAGCCATCCACAAAAACACTGCTGGACTGATGTAGAAGAGATGCGACACGTTCGATATCCTCTGGGGCATGTTGGTTACAGGTCGACGGTTGCCCCTTTTCCTCGACCCTATCTAGTTTTCCGACTGAGATGAAGTCGGCACCTCCTGGCTTTTTCTGCAATGACTTCGTATATGTCCGAGCTTTCCACATCTCCAACACCGGATTTCCTTCTTTTCTGGTAGATTCTCTTTAAGGACTCGTCTGATTGCTTCAATTATACTAGGTTCCTCCTCCTTTTCTTCTTCGACTCTCCTTATTCTAGGCTGGCTCCTACAGCTCTGCTTTGCCGCCTCGAATTCCAAAGCTCGAGCTAATGCATCAACCAGTTGGCTCGGACGAGCCAGTGTTAGAGCCTGCCTTGTTTCATTGTCTCGAAGTCCATCCAAAAAGGCTTGAACCGCTAATCGTTCCATAACGGTCGTTGGAGTAGCTGGATATGCTAGCCGAACCAAGCGTGCAATATCAGCCTCGAATTCTTGTAACGTCTCGTTTGATTTCTGGCAGCGATTCTTCAGTTGGGAATGGTACACATGTTCCAGATGTGTCTGGCCATATCGAAGTTCCAGATGTTTCACCAACGCTTCGTAATCTTCTTGTTCGTTGGGAGAAAGCGTCTGCAAGATGTCCGTTGCATCTCCGCGTAAAGCCAGAGTCAATGCTGTAGCTTTTTCTTCTGGTAGCCAGCCATTTGCTTTTGCTGCTGCCTCAAACTGACGGATGTAGTTGGTCCAAGAAGTTTTTCCATCGAACTGAGGTGGTTTCATTCGAACTCGGCTCCCCTCCGGCATTGTTCCTGGTTCCGCCAGCATCATGGGTAGATTTACAGCTGTCAGTTTACTATTTATTTCTCTAATTTTGACCTCCAATTTCTCGTTCAATTTTTCTTCTCTCATATCCAATTCCATCCTTACGTTATTTAATTCCATCCTTACATCGTCAACTTTCTCTTCTAATTCATTGACATTTTCTAGAATCTTCCCTTCCAAATATTCTTTTAGGTTTTTAGAATTTTCTAGCATTTTCTGTTGCAAATCGTCCTTTAATTCGTTGACATTTTCCAGAATCTTCTGTTGTAAATCGATTTTTAAATCGCTAGAATTTTCCACCATTTTCTGTTGCAAATCATCCTTTAAATCGTTGACATTTTCTAACATTTTCTGTTGTAACTCGTTAGAATTTTCCAACATTTTCTGTTGCAAATCGACTTTTAGTTCTTTAGAATTTTCTAGCATTTTCTGTTTTAAATCGTTTAAATTTTGCAACATTAAATGCATATCACACGAACCTTCAAATAAATACGTATCTGGATTTTCACCCTCTTGTTCCAACGCTTCTCGAAGCCGCTGCTGCAACACATTCTTTTTTCCAGTTGTTTCACATTCCCTTTCTTCCAGCTCCCGCTTAAGGTCCGCCACTTTTAAGTCCATTAACGAAACCATTTTCGCGAAGTTTCACACTAACCGCACTCCTGACACCAATTGTAACGTTTTTAACTGTTCGTAGTGTGAATAAAAACACGCACTGGTTAATTAACGAACTAAACTATTTATTTAATAACTTAAATACACTTAAAACACTATAAAACTATAAAACTAAACACTTAACTACTAATTATTTATATATCACTACTGTTCAAGTTTATTTATTTGCACTTATATTTATTTATTTCTTCGCGCGTATCAAATCTCAACTGACTGCCGTGTGCTGCTCCGTTTCTTATATATTCAGCGCCAAGGTCTTCTGGAACATTCCAGCGAGCTCCACACTCTCGATTGTTCGAGCGCTGAGTCACCGGCGATGACTCATCGGCGATGACTAACCGGCGATGAGTCATCACTCCGATATCCAGAGCGGTACTCGCTACAATATTATATTATATTATATTATATTATATTTTGTATTGTGTTGTTTTCTTTAATAGACACCAAATAAAAATACATAGATTATACTTGATATAATAATTTAAAGTTATATTTTTTATTTTTTATAACTCTGGCTTATTACTTTATGCGTGCGGCACATACGATCGCATAGCCAATATTTTCTGAATCGCAGTAAAGTATGGCCTGCTGCATTCGCGCAAACATTTCAATATTCTCTACTATGATTCAGAACATCACAAACTGGGAGATGTGCTGAATCGTAGTATGGATTGTATTGTACTTAGTGGCGTTTAATTTTGTCAATCCTTACTGCGATTCAGAACACTGTGGCTCTGTATCGTAGTACACAATGCCAATACGCAACCCGGTACAGTTAGACGCAGATTGCACAGCTTTGTAGCCTAACCCACTGCGCCATCCTCGGACCCTAATGTCAACAATGTTTTTTTTGTATATTCTTTTTATATTTGGACAACTCAATTATGAGTGTATAAACAAATATTAGAAATATACCCCAACATCTTCAGAAGCGAAGTATTACTAAATATAACTGCTAAATCTACCATATTTATACTAATTAAGCACTTTGTGTTTTGTTTTAGTGTCCTGTGTTATTCCCATGAGAAATATTAAAACTTGATAATGGACCTCAATTTTATTATAAGAAACTCTTGTCCTTTTTCCTGTGCATTAATCATATATTATATCACGAGAACTATGAATTTAATCGGTTAAACTAGGCTCAGTACTTTTTTGTTGGAAAATGTTGAATGCAAAATAATTTAATAAAATCACGAGACCGCGTAGCGGTCGAGGGGTTTTATTTTTAATTATTTTGCATGAAACTATTTTTCAAAAAGAAAAATCAAATAAAAAACTTACTGAGCATAGTTTGACAGATTAAATTTATAGGTTGAGTGATATACGTCTAGATTATTTCTCGAATTAAAGAAAACTATTTGACAATTCATAAAATCTGACGTACTTATGTGTCAAAATTTATAAATATTTTTTTAAAGAAAATTCCATTAAATTAAGGTAGGTATGTAATAAGTAATATTGATATTTCGTAAACTAGATAACTTATTTTTTATTGTTTTTAAAAAAATGTTTGTTAAAACTTGTAAATAACACCATAAAATCGTAAACAAAAATCCAATATGGAGGCTAAAATTTAGTCGCTGTTAAATAGTTCTAGTGATTTAATCGCTTATTTAATAGTTATTTATGTATTAAGGGCATAATAAGGTTTTTATGGTCCGAGGCGCTATTTCGAGCCCGAGCGCGTTAGCGCGAGGGCTAGAAAAGCGTCGTAGGACCATAAAAACCAGTTATGCCAGCAATGCATACAAAACTTTATGCACGATTAATATATTATTATTTTTAATATATTATTGTTTTTAAAAGACGTTTACGTCAAAGAATTTTTGTAATAATTGTCATATTATAATGTCAACTGACATCAGTCAGTTTTAAAGTTTAAAGATGAATGAAATTGAGGAAGCAGCTGAAAAGGCGAAAAATTGCGGCCTGCTGCCGGAAAAATCAAAATCTTTATACGAAAAAACTTACTTCGAATATATCAAATGGTGTAACATTGTTGTTTTTAATTTTTGACGTTTCATTATAGCCCGCTGGGCCATAATAACGCCCGCGGGCTATAAAAAGACGTTTACGTCAAAGAATTTTTGTTATAATTGTCATATTATAATGTCATCGTGCATAAACGAAATTTATTCGAAAATTCAAGGCTTTTGATTGGTTCATATTATAATGAGGGCAATAATCGCTGTTAAATAGTTCTAATGATTTAATCGCTTATTTAAACGAAATTTATTCGAAAATTCAAGGCTTTTGATTGGTTCATATTATAATGAGGGAAATAATTAGGAAAAAATTAAATCAAGCAACTCAATACTGAATAAATTGATAAATTTTGCCAGTCCAAAATTCCTATTATGTTTTTGCAGTACTCCTAATTAAAACTAATTTGATTTTAAAAGTTTAATCAAAATGAAAAAATTATCCTTCACTGGGAGCTTGATACTCATCTGCTTCACTTGGAGATTCTTCCCCAGTTTTGTCTTCTTCATAACTTACATCTTCCAAAACTTCCGTCGAAGCTTCATATTGTTCACTTGGATGTTCTTCCACAGTTTTCTCTTCTTCATAACTTTCATATTTTAATACTTCTGTTGGAGCATCAGATTGTTCCGCATATTGTACTCCTTCCAGCACTTCATCATGTTCAAGTTTGGTCGGTTCTGCAACACTCTTTTCGTCTTCTGTCTGCACCGGAACTTGGTAACTGAATTCTTCAGGATCATCTTGAAAAACCACTCTGTCGATGAGAGGTTCAAGAATTTCATGTCTAATGAAATCTTCGTTGCCCAAGTCTACTTCGTCCATCGCTCTATCGCATATATCTCTCACTATTGGTCCTACTATTGCTGTGACACTTTCTTCTTTTATGCTAGCTGAAATAAAAGTAGGTATTATATATTTATATAAATATAAAGCATTTAATTTAAATTCGGCTTTTGATATTTTAAATTGTGTTTTTATCATACTTAAATATTTATTCTTGACTAGAGTTTGGTTTTTTAGTTAGCTTAAATTTAAATGAAATGCTAAATGCTAAATTAACAAACAATGAGGGATCTTGGGCAAATTTTCCGTGGTTCCAAATACTTCTTCATGTATTGTTCTCAAATCATGTTTTTGCTTTGCATTGATATTATGCCTGACTACTTCTTTTTGTGTTTCTTCTAACAAGAAGTGATGTACCATATCAGCTACAACTTCATCCTGAGTTTCTATCGAAGATGACCTGCCAAAACACGGTTTTAAAGGTTGTTTAAATGACAAATGATGATGATTTATTTAAACATTTATTCCTATTTTCAAAGCTAGTCTTAACAAATATATACTCCAAATCAGTGCCGGATAAGGTAAGTTTATATCTGATACTTAAAACTTAAAATAATTATACAAGTTAAGAATTCATGAGAAATATGAACCCACGAAAAGCTCGTTAAAATTTGTAAAACCCTCTCTCTAAAAATGAATGTAAAAATGACTAATTTAATAGTTATTAGTGGCTGCTTTTTCACTTGTACCATGGTTAACCATGGAATGGTATCCCAAAATTTAACAGCCAATTCTTATGTAAAATTGTCCCCTGAATCCGAAAATGTCGTTAAAAAAGTAGAACAGTTTTTGAGATATAGTAAATTTTCCATTTAATATGGAATTGACTATATCTCAAAAACTGCTCCACTTTCATAATTTTTGACGCTATTTTCGGATTCATAGGACAATTTTACACAAGAATTCCTGTTAAAATTTGGGATATCATGGTATTCTATGGTTAACCATGGTACAAGTGAAAAATCAGCCACTAATAACTATTAAATTAGTCATTTTTGACTAATTTATATTTAGAGAGCTAACTATGGGAGAAGAGATAGAACTGCAAGCTTATAGCCTAGGGTGCTTCATTTTAGAGCAACCATTTTTTTTTTCAAGTCCCACCTCAAAATCTTGTAGTAGATCCAAAAACAAAAAAATTGAGCATTTTTTGAGCTCTTAATTATGATTTTAAGCCATTGCTCAACAGTGTTGAAGATTTTCCATTCAAATAACATTATAAATCCATTTTTTACCATTTTTCTCTTCCGCTCACCACGAAGGAATTTTATTTACGAATTTTGGCTCAGGGAATCTTATGAAGGACTAAATCGTCTACGAAAAAGCCCATTGAGCCGAGTCTGTAAGTCGAATATCTTCTTTACAAATCGCTCTTTAAATTGAAAATGTTATAAAAATAACAGTTAATCGTAATTATTTGCTAAACTATTGATGATAGAAAAAAAACGTTAATGGCAATTTTGTAGAGAATTTTTTGTTCTCTAACTTTGTTTTAAAAAAATTTTTCGTATCACAAATAGTTAAACGACTGCAGCCTCTTAAAATGTAAAATGTCTTAAAATTTCTATTCTAACCTATGTATATTAGGGTGCTTCATTTTAGAGCGACACTTTTTTTCAAAGTCCCACCTAAAAATCTTGTAACCGGTTAGAAAACAAAATTTTTGAGCTATTACAAAGCCCTTAATCTTTATTTTAATCCCTTGCTATTTAATTTTTAAATATTTCCCTTTAAAAACCATTAAAAACAATGTTTTATTCTTTTCTCCTTCCGCTCGTACAGTAAGAATATTTTTTTCGAATTTTGGTTCTAAAATATTTATACAAAATAAAATTATCTTCAAAAATGTCTATTAAAGCACGTCTGTAAGTTGAATATGTTCTTCACAAATTGCCGTTCTATAGAATACTCGAAAATCTTCTAAAATAGCAGTAAATCGTATTTGGAGACTAAACTATTGATTGTAGATAAAAAACGTAAATGTAGGGAATTTTGTGCCCTACAAATTTGTTAGAAAATATTTTTCTGTATCACTTATAGTTTAGCTTGTACAGCCACTCAGTGGCAAATTCTTAAAAATTCAGTTTTTGAAGACTTTAATAACCATGCTATTAGAGTGGCTGTACAAGCTAAACTATAAGTGAGACAGAAAAGGGCACAAAATCCCTACAAAATTGTCATTTACGTTTTTTATCTACAATCAATAGTTTAGTCTCCAAATACGATTTACTGCTATTTTAGAAGATTTTCGAATAAAACGGCAATTTGTGAAGAACATATTCAACATTTTTGAAGATAATTTCATCCTGTATAAAGATTTTAGAACCGGAATTCTAAAAAAATATTCTCACTGTACGAGCGGAAGGAGAAAAGAATAAAACATTGTTTTTTAATGGTTTTTAAAGGGAAATATTTAAAAATGGAATAGCAACGGCTTAAAATAATGATTAAGAGCTTTGTAATGGCTAAAAATTTTTGTTTTATAACCGGTTACAAGATTTTTAGGTGGGACTTTGAAAAAAATGTCGCTCTAAAATGAAGTACCCTATATACATAGGTTAGAATAGAAATTTTAAGACATTTTACATTTTCAGAGGCTGCAGTTGTTTAACTATTTGTGATACGAAAAAATTTTTTAAAACAAAGTTAGAGGACAAAAAATTCTCTACAAAATTGCCATTAACGTTTTTTTTCTATCATCAATAGTTTAGCAAATAATTACGATTAACTGTTATTTTTATAACATTTTCAATTTAAAGAGCGATTTGTAAAGAAGATATTCGACTTACAGACTCGGCTCAATAGCTGGCCATACACAGGCGTTATTTCACGCGGTTTATCGTGGCGTGTTGGGATGTAGCGGTTAGTATGCACGAAAGAACGGCATGGCAAAAAAAGCGTCATGTTCCATACACTTGATAAAGTATTCAAATGATTTAGCAAGTTATTGCCCGTGGTATATCAGTTTCAACGGAAAAATCGTATGTGAGTGGGCAAAAAGTGTCATTTATCGAGTCGTTTGAAACTGCATGTGATCATGTACAAATTTTCAACGTGAAATTTTGCCAAGCAAAGGTAAACCGTGACGCGGAATGTGGCGTGTGGACACGCCACACTCCAGAGAAAAGCACGTCTGAAATCCCTTCCCGTTCTATCATTTCGCGCAGCGATACTCACTCACGTACATGATTTTCCATATGTTTTTGCAGATAACACGATAAACCGCGCGCAATAACGTCTGTGTATGGCCAGCTAATGGGCTTTTTCGTAGACGATTTAGTCCTTCATAAGATTCCCTGAGCCAAAATTCGTAAATAAAATTCCTTCGTGGTGAGCGGAAGATAAAAATGGTAAAAAATGGATTTATAATGTTATTTGAATGGAAAATCTTCAACACTGTTGAGCAATGGCTTAAAATCATAATTAAGAGCTCAAAAAATGCTCAATTTTTTTGTTTTTGGATCTACTACAAGATTTTGAGGTGGGACTTGAAAAAAAAAATGGTTGCTCTAAAATGAAGCACCCTATTATAGCCCCGCTAAGACAAAACTGATGTTAATTACAATTTATAGAGTTCCTCCGTTTCCAAATCGATTTTCCTGGCTATGGCTTTAATATAGCAAGAAGCCTCGTCCTGCGAAGCAAAATCCATTCCTTCGACAATAATGTCCTGCAAATACATATCGACCGTTTCCTGGTGTATTTTGACGACTTGCTTGAAGATCTCGTCGTGCTCCCGCCTTCTTCGCAGCTCTCTCTGCCTTCGTCCCGCTTCGGCAGCTTCGCGCGTGTGGAGGTCCCTTTCCAAGCTCATACAGAGCGCATGCGCCTTGCGTTCGCATTGCAGCCTGCGTAGCTCTTTGTTTAAGAAGTCCAGAAGAGTACCGACGGACGAGCCTCGCAGGCGTTCCAGGCTTTCTTTTACTTGTTCGAGCTAATATCAAAGAATTATACTGTATACCCCTATAGGGAGGTAAAAATATCACAGCTAAACGCTCGGACACGTCAACTTAATTTTTGGTCGTAGATTACAAATCCGTGCTTGGCTAAGCTGTATCAGGTCAAAATTCAAAGATATTGGAAACACCCTGTATAAATTTAAATACCCTGTATAAATGAATTTGGCTGGACCTACACATCAGTTTCAAATTAAAAAAACAAAGTCTTGCAAAATTTGAAGTAAATTGATCAAAAGGAACACGTGTCCCTGAGTATTTTTCTTAGATAATTTAGAAAATTCAAAATGTTTTTTGTTGATTTTTTTTTATTGAGCATAATTGAGGATATTATATTAAACAAAATAAAAAGCATGGGAATGTTGGCACAAGAGGTGAAATATATTATTTTAAAAATTATAATATATCAGTATACAGTGTACACGTGTCTCCGGATCGGATTGCCAATAGAAAAAAAACTTTTTTAGACCTGATACAGCTAAACCGAGTACGGATTTGGAATCTATGCACTTTTGCACTTTTATTATTTATAAAAAATTCTGAAAACTACTTTGGTTTTAAGGATCAATTCCTATTGTTTACCGAATTTTCAGGCCGATCGGCATGGCATTTACTAACTAGATATCTAGTTAGTATATATATCCTATCGACATCGGCGCCGCCAGCCATAGGCGGGGGGCGGCCGTGGCTACCCCTGGAATTATGACTAAAAAAATTGGAAAAAGGTTTACTTAAAATTATTATTATTTTATTTCTGGCGGCGCCCATGTCTACCAAAAAATATTGTAAATATGGCGAAAGCTATAACCGTGGTAAAAATCGACCACTTTTTACCCCGACCCCTTTCGATTTGACTAAAACTTTTTTATCCTTTCAAAAACATTTTTTTTAAGTTTTTCAAAATTTCATTCCCAACCAAAAAAAAGTTTTTCAAAAAAATGGCTCTTTGTCCATTTTCGGTCCATACGGTTTTTTTCGGTGACAATTTTTTTACCATGTAGGTGTAGATTTATAAAATGAAAAAAATTTTTTTGTAAATTTTTTTTGGCATGTGATTAAATTACTTTGTCTATTCTTTTTTTCAAATCAGGTTCTTCAATTTTAGGCTCTTCATTCTCTTTTTTTTACTTTTATTCTCGATCGGCTTGCTAACTTTAACTTTTTCTTCTGATCTTGCGATTGAAAAACTGAAAAATTCATATTTAAAATAAGTTTTTCTTCAAAAATTCTGTTGGTTCTCACAAATAATTGTTCCTTTAATATTTTTTCTTTTATGTTTGATCTTGTTGGGGGAAGTAAAAATTTGTGACCAGTAAACAGCCTACTTGTGTTGCAGGTGTCATAAGTATACATAATACTTGGCAACACTGTAATTAATAAATCCCCACTACAAATGCACCTACCACCCATGCTAGTCGAGATACCTACAATGTAGGTCCTACATACACCTACATGCTAGTCTTCAACCTACTCTGGTATTATTTACTTCATGGCGCAGTCGGTTATATAATATATATGTATACATATGACATCTTTCTTTTTCAAATATAGTTATTTTTATTTACATTTACAATAATTATTTATACAACATTTACAATTGGTATTATAGCAGGAACGCTAACAATACTTGTGCTAGAGTGTATAATTTATAGATTTTTAGCCCGTGCTCAAATATTTTTTTAACTAAACAAAATATTTTTTTAAATTTTTGCAAAAAGAAATTAAGAAAAAACCGAAAATAACCTAACCCGTTTTAAATTTAAAGGGTTCGGTTTCTAGAGTTAAAAATAATATGGATTCGGTTCCGGTTCCGGTTCACAAATAAATACCGGTTCCGGTCCGGGTCCCTGCTTATCAGGACAATTGTATTACATATACTAATATGGCCCAAAGGAATCTAGAATTAGCCCAACCGGGCTAAACGTTAAGGTAAACATTCAATTTTCTTAGTTTATTTTACGCTATTTGTCCTTTTACTCGGGTTATTTCTTTTAGTACCACTTTGGGGGTTTTTGAGGTTGTAGACAACTTCAATGTTTTTCGAAAAAAATAGAAGAAAGTTGTGAATAATTATATATTTTTCTCTATTAAAAACCCAAAAAAAAAATAAAAAAAATTGTATATAGCTTAAACACAATCAATAAAATTATTTAAATAACATTCAATTTTCTTCCCATTACTGGTATTGTTCAGGAGAAAAATTGGCGAGGTGAAGGTTCAATTCCTTTAAAAAAGCAGTGAAAACATGAAACGAATTCTATCACAAATTAACAACATTTTTAAAAGCTTGTATTTTGTCCAAAAATAAACCCAATAACATATTTGTTTTTATTTTTTTTGTTTTTAAATATAATTTAAAAAATATGTATAAAAAAATTATTCACAACTAACTTCTATTTTTTTTTAGTTTTTCGAAAACCATTGACATTTTTTTAATGAGTGGTATTATAAGAAATAAGCTAAGTAAATCAATTTGTTTTTCAATTGAAAAAAAAATAAAAAACGAAAAAACGCCACTCTGAAAATTGCAGAGTTTGCGGGAAATGTCAGTTTCTAATAAACAAATTCAAAAAAATTAAAAATGACAATTCCGAAAATTAAAAACAAACCTTGAATCGGTCTGAATAATTTTCAATATTTTTATAAAAATTACATTACATGGTTCGGATTCCACGTTAAACAGTAGGTCCCGCTGAAGAACCGAACCTTATAGGCTTTGCCTGTAAGCTGGATAGGTTAACCTTAATGGCGTTACTACACTACTTTACTTTTTTTTACATACAAAAACAAAAATTTCGAAAAAAAAAACGTTCCGATAAGTCAATTTTTGAAAAAAATTAATAGATATTTAAAAAATAAAGATATGTTTTTGATAGGGATAAAAAAGTTTTAGCCAAATCAAAAGGGGTCGGGGTCGGGGTCAAAAGTGTTTGGTTTGGTATGGAATGCCTCATATTCAAATAGGTAAGTACATATAATCCGGGCTCTACTTATTATTATATTTTTCTTTATTTTATAAGAAATATATTTATGTTAATGAAGAATAATTAATAAATATTATGATACCTTATAGTCTTTTAGGAATTCTTGACGTTGCTGACTTTTAACCTTCAATTTGGTCTTCAACTTTTCGTCTTTTTGTGACTGTAGAAGGCCCACGGACGTTCTCAGCGTCTCTATTAACTTACGGCATCTATCGCGCCCTTCGTAAATCTAAAATTTATATTTTGCGATAAGGTAAATTTGGATTTGTATTGAAAAACTTACCAGAACTTGTGTAGCACGCCCTTTTATGGTACTTTGCAGCCTCACTACAGCTTGATACTGAGACTCAGCTTCGTCGGGAATGGCTTCAGCTTCAGACGTGTATTGCAAAACTTGTTCTACTTCTATTCTCTTTAATAACCCGCATGATCTTCTTTCCTCTTTAACACGCATAGCTAAGGTACATTTTGTTTTTTAATTCCAATTATTTTTGATAAATTATCATTTGAGTAGTTTTGAGGTAGCCAAACTACCACTTAATCAATCAATTAAAACTGGGATAAATATTGGCATTTAATTAGGTTTCGCCCCATTGGTTACTGGTAAATGGGGGTGAATTAAAAAGTTGCAATGATTATAATTTCTAATGTTTACTATTGAAAAATGCAGTAAAGTACTGATGGCTTTTGAAACGCCACTATTTCAATATGATTGAAGTGGAGGGTATAAAAACCCTGATAGCAAAATTTGATTTTAAGAATCTTGTAAGAAGATATGACCCGGAATAATGATATTCTTAGAACCTTAAGGTTCTAGGGAATTCTCTTATTGCTAAGAATGTTCTTAGGGACTTTTAAAACATTCAATAGATACCCTTTTAATTATGCAATTAAATTCTTAAAAGCTTCTTAAAAGCTTCCTAAAAAGCATCCTAAGAATACGTTTTTGGAATGTTCTTAGAAGGTTTCTTATGGAGCTTCTAGGAAGCTTTTGAGAATATTTCCAAATATGTCAGATGGGCGAATTTTCGTTAAATGTAGATTTTGTGTATATATTTTGTCCAGGCAGGTCAATTTGATCGTTTTGTTTTCCTTTATGATAGAACAGTGTTATAGACTCCAAAAAATTCTATAAGTTTATAAATAACAAAAATAAACTTTAAAGAAATAAAACTTATAGGGTTAATCTGAAATAGGGAAGGAACACAAGGAAGAAATGAAACATTGTCCTCCTCCTAACGCATCTTCCTAAACGTTTTATGACACATTGCTTTTGACTTTTTCAAACGTTATTTTTCAGAAATACTGTTAAATGTAAATATCTTTCGGCATTTGTTTGGCATTTCTACTATGCTATAATACAAAATTAAAATAAAAAAGTTAACTTCTAAAACAAGAGTTGTATGTAGCGTTTTGTAAAATACACCAAAAAGTGTACGCAAAAAAATCTTACCTTTAAAATATTTATAAAAAAATTCGCACAATTTACACGTGCTCACTTGTTGTTGCCGAAGTATCAAACTGGATGCCCTCTAGAAATAAAACGCTAGTATCTCTATTTCGAAGCAGTCGGCATAGAAGACGACGTTAGGAAAAAGACAAGATTTTTGAATGTCAACAAAATATTTTTTTCTGTTTAAACTACTTTGTAGAAAACTATTTAAGTTTTATATACGAATAAAAGAACTTTCCATTGTTCAAAAATAATTTATTTTTTCAGAAGAAAGCTGCAAAGAAGAAGAATATAATAATTTAAATTAAAAAATCGCCTCTGGGGACAGTTAGGTTACAGGACATTTCACCTAGTTTTTCTGCCATATATAGAAACACAAAGTAATTAAAAAACAAAATACGATGGGTCCTAACAGGAAGGGGGTATTTAAATATATAAATACCAAACTTATCAACAAAGGTCAAAAATAAAAATAAAATTAGCTGGGGACAGCAAATGTACATTTAACGAAAATTTGCCCAGATACCCACGTTCTAATATGTTGTATTCTACATTCGTAAAATTCTTCAGGAGACGACAAATACGCCTCACTGTTATAATATGACAGTGAAATGTATTTGTCGTCCCCTTAAAAAATTTTGCGACATATTAATATATATATTTATTTAAAAATATTAAATAAAAAATTTGACCTCTAAACCATAAGTTGTATGACATTATTTCATAAAAAGTAAAATTGGAAAAATTTTGTGGGATGTCAGATTAGATTGAAGTTGAAGATAGTTGGGTTTATTATACATAAAAATGTTAATTCAGAAATAAAAATTCGGTATACAAATTTTTTAACATAAAATAAAATACCTATAGTAAAAGTACTTTTGTTATCGAATATTGTTTTAATTTGACAAATAACTATAAAAAAATATTTTGGATTGTGTTTTTTACTTAGTATTTAATACTAATTACTAATTAGGTAATTAAGTATACCTTTAAAGGTATAGTTTATGGTATATTTTACTATTATTTGGTAACTGAACTAAATATGCTTAACAGGAATATTCCTAAATAAACTTTCTATAGCAATTACTTTCTTAACATTCTAAGCATATGTTTAGAGTAGACTAATTTTTACCACTAAAACTTTGCACCTTCTAAGAACCTGCCTATAGGCCAGTAAAAATATTCTTAGGATCATGCTATATGTCTTTTAAGCATGTTCTTTAGAAGAAATATAGCATGATCCTAAGAATATTCTCACTGGAAGGTTTAAAAAATATTCTTAGAATAAAGTGTGCTATCAGGGAATGGATCAGATTATTTCGTATTTTATGCAGGCATGGATCCGTGGCTTGGGAATCAACGCAGCTTTAGTCAGTTCACGATGCACGGTGCTGTTCTGAGAGGTGATTTTTGGACTTTCTGTGAAACATAATTTATTTTTATATTCTTGTTAATTAGGTCATAACTAAAATTTTAAGAGCAAAATAAAAAAAATTTGACGGTTTGAATTGTTTTAATTGGCTGTTTATTAAAAATATTATGCACTCTTTCAATTATCCAATTAAAACTAGCGATTTAATTTAAATATTTAATATTTGCATAACTAAAAAAAAAGGTTTTTACAATTTTTTTTATATATTTTACTGTTTTGTTGCAATAAACGTTCAAACTTTTAATCTAACCTTTGACGTAACATTTATGTTCCCTTAATTAATATATCCTTAAAGGTTGCCATGAAACTTAGATCTAAAAATTTATTTGACGTTTGAATTGTCATTGTCAGTATACGTATTCTATAATTTTTGTTTAGTTTTTTAAAGTGTTTTTTATAAACAAAAATGAAAAATTGTAGTAAAAGTTACGAAGAAATTCATGAAATTTAACCAAGGACCGGTTTATTAATCTTTAGTAAAGTTTATCGGGCCGATAACTTTCATGTCTTGGCAATATCTAGTATCCAAAGAAATTATTCGTCAAATAAATCAAAAATGAATAAATCGGCCCTAAATAAAATGTGGCACCCTTAGAATTATTGTTTAATAAATGTATACTATACATTTAACCTTAAATTAAAACTTTAAACGTCTATTACAACAAAACAGTAAAAGATATAAAAAATGTATAGACCTTTTTTTAGGAAATTAACTAATCTTTAATCTGATTTAAAAAGTTATGATAATATTTAAATAAAATCGCAAGTTTTAATTGGAGAATTGAAAGTGTGCATACATATTTTTAATAAACATCCAATTAAAACAAAATTAACCGTCAAATTTTTTTTATTTTGCTCTTAAAATTTTAGTTGACCTAATTAACAAGAATATAAAAAAAAATTAGGTTTCACAGAAAGTCCAAAAATCACCTCTCAGAACAGCACCGTGGATGCTTTCACTTTGGAAGGCAGTAATAATATTCTTACATTTTAATTCTTCATGTAGTTCCTTTAACACCGGTTGCGTCCACTTGGTCTCCCTCATGCAAATATGCCTTGTCGGCAGCTTTCTGTCGATCTCCCTTTCGGTCACCTTGGTAGCTTTATCTATCCAAGTTGGCAGCGTGCTGATCTTCTCGACCCCGATAAACTGCGCCTTGTACTTTTTGTTGTTTTCGTCGATAACTTTGTGCCAACGTTTCGGATGCTCGCCGTGCCTCATCATCGGCGCGTAAATTTCCGACTTGAAGTCCACATGTTCATCGATAATGTTCACCTTGTGGTAACGTTGGTTGATGCCGCGGGCGGCCAGTCCCAGTTTTCGCAGATCTTAAAAATGTAGGATTAATCTCCGCGCATTCGCCATTTTTGACAAATATGTTACACAGCAAACGGAAAATTATAGAGGATGACGCCACGTTTGAATATGGTTTTCTAAATCTCCCCACGGTATAGATTTGTATTCGTCAGTCGAGCGTTTCAATACTCTCCACAGTATAGAGGTCGTAATTTCACTTTTGAACTATTATTAATATAAAAATTATTTTATGCTTAAAAAAAACTATATACGACATGATTGTGATTTTTTTCATTTTATTAATTAATTAAGCTGTGTTGAATATTTTTCCTAAAGGAATAATTGCCAATGGACCATTAATTCATTTGTTCGTAGATGCTACAATAACCTGCACTGGTGTGTACTTTTTCATCAACCAGATTTAAATATTGCTGTACTAGCATATACCAGTGGAGATAGTGCAGGGTCTACCAACAGACCTCATTACTAAATTATTAAAATTTAATACTTAGCATATCGATCATTTTTTCAACATAACCTCTGAAATTTTTAATACAAATATAGGTACTTTATATAATACATAAATATACTTAACATCATATCCTCTGTGCTTTACATACCTGAGTTGTTACGGTAAATAAAAATCAGACAAAGGAACCAAAGAAAGAAACTATTTTCAACAAAATCATATGCAGAAATGAGAAAATTCAAACTACTTGCATCCATCAAAAGATCAAAACTTCTTGCAATATTACACCCTCTTTTTATACTCTCAGAAATATTGACTAGAACAGTATTAGAGAGACTCCAGTTTCTATAACTTGGTAGAGTAAAGAGAAACCGTTGCGATATTGCATTGCGCTGTTTTTGTATAATTCTCGGGGACATTAACGAAAATCATTGCCAGTAAAATTCGAAAAGCTTGAGTTTCTATTTCTCTGAAGAGAATAGGAATCCGAAGTTGCTGCACCATTGGACTGAACCCTTTTTTAATAATTTCCAGAGACATAAATGACTGCACCATTCGACAGGGTCGAGTTTCTACCTCTCTGTTGAATATAGAAAATCAAAACAATATGTCTTGTAAGACACCATTGAGTTTGACTTTAAATATAGTCGTGCATAGGTATAGAGCCGAAAAATATAAAAACAAAGCACGATTCAATACAGTTGTGATAAAACTTTAAGATTTAATATTCAAACGCGGAGTCATCCTATACAGTTCTATATTTTTCCGTTTGCTGTGTAAAAGCCAATTTTATATTCATATATGGGGAATTCCACGTGAATTCGACACGAGAAAAACCCTTGCCATTTCGAAATTCCTTGGCAATTTTTCCATGGATTCCCTGACTCAAAATAAAAATTCAATTTTAATTTTAGCACGGTTTGTCAATTGTTTTTGGAAATATGATTTTTTTAATTTTCATGATTATAACGATTGTGCCAATATGTGATCGATCATAACTTTGGTTCCAATTGAGCGGTTTCGACGAACGACCAATCAATTTTCTTGTCTTGAAACAAGCTATTTGAAATAAATATTTTTGATGCTGTGGCATATCGGCACACTTTTTCTTCGAAAACTTAAAATCCATTTTCTACATTGTTTGTATTTTTTTTAATTTTAATTTTTTTTGTTTTTAATTTTTAAGCGAATACAAGTTTTTTCATCTATATTAGATCATGGCCATCGAAAAATTAATATTTTTTTCGGAATTTTAAATTTTAATAATTTCTATTTTTTCCACTTTCGGACATTTTGTAATATCAAAAATGATTTTTTTTATTTAGCCCTTTTAACTATTAAAATTGTTTAAAAAAATTAAAGAGTAGTGCTTATGAATATATAGTAAAATGATTGATTCATTGATTTTCAATCTTAAAATAATTATTATTAATAATAATTTTTTTAAAAACAATTTCAATAGTTACAAACTGTCCGAAAGTGGAAAAATTCAAAATTATTAAAATTAAAAAATCCGAAAAAAAAATATTAATTTTTCGATGGCCACGATCTAATATAGATAAAAAAACTTGTAGTCGCTTAAAGATTAAAAACAAAAAAAAATACAAAAGTGTAGAAAATTGATTTTTAGTTTTCGAAGAAAAAAAACATAGTGTGCCAATATGCCATAGCATCAAAAATATTTATTTAAAAACTTGTTTTAAGACAAGATTGGTCGTTCGTCGGAATAGCTCAATTGGAACCAAAGTTATGATCGATGATATATTGGCAAAATCGTTATAATCATGATAATTTAAGAAATCATATCTCCAAAAAGATCCGAAGTTTTATTTTGAGTCAGGGTACCCATGGAAAATTGCCGAGGAATTTCTAAATGGCAAAGGTTTTTTTCGTGTCGAATTCACGTGGAATTCCCCATATATTGTTTATAATTTGTTTGTAATTATTACCAAATACTTTTAAATACCGTTTAAATAGTATCTACATACGTCTATTATAATTAGAGAAACTGGTCCGAATATGGGGTTCCAAGTCTTAAGTTCTTAAAAATAACTCTCAAAATTTCTCAAAACTTCTTATAGTAATAAATTCTCAAAGCAAAAATGTATCAAGCAATTAATTCTCAAACAAAAATAACTCAAAACAAAATATCCTCACCATCAATCACCTAATAACACAGTACGACAAAATTTGACTTTTTTAATAAACCAACAATATTTTAATTTATAATTTTTATTAGCAATTTATTATTAAATGTTCAAAGTGTCCTTTTTACTTCTACATAAGACGTTATTGAATATTCTGTCTAATATTAGAAACTGTTAAATATCTTTAAAATTATTAAATTTGGGTAGGTATAGGAAGCCCAATAGTTCGAAATGTTTTTTTTATTTTCTATTTGATTCTACAGGGTATTACTTTTCAAATAAAAAGTTATTAGCGTTTTAAGTTAGCCTAATTTGGGTTTTCTCGGGTAATTTGTTGGAAAATGTTACAGAATTGACATGGAATCTTTTAAACAATGCTTTAGGAATGCCAAAAATTCCGCCCCCATATCCGCAAACCTAATAGCAAAAAAGTTATAGGCTATTTTTTATTGACGCGCATTTCTCAAATTTTAACAAAGAAATTAATAAATCGAAATCTATTTATTTTAGGTATAGGACATGGTATAGTAATTTTACTCAGAATTTTATGTGGAATTTAAAAATAAATGTAAAAATATATGGGGTGTTCTATTTTAAATAAAAAACTTGTCCGGTCCGGTCAAACCTGAAGTGTCATTTTGTTTAAAATATTTGAGATTAAATAGATTCAGTCACGTTCCAGCACTTGACAAAGCAAGACGCATTGTAGTAGCGAGAGGTATTAAAACGTTAAAGCCAAACCCAACAAATTATTTCTCATAAAGTTCAAACAAATTATAGGGTAACAACTACAGTGAGTATAGACTGGGCGGTCCTACCACCCCTTAACTGGACGCTTTTCACTTGACAAACAAAAGAGGACAAAACCAACAAACAATTTTCATAAAGTACAAACTAATATAGTGTAACGGTCAATAAAGAGTGATAAAAAAGAGTTAAGTGACAAGTGTCAGCTTCTGGGCGGTCCTACCACCTGTCATTGGACGCTTTTCACTAGACAAACAAAAAAAATCAAACAAAAAATTGATAAGTATCCTCAACCATATGCATGACCTAACATATAATTTGCAAAATTAAACACTACAGATACCTGTAAAACCCTAAGAGAGGCACATTGCTTAAACTCTAAAAAAACAATAAATATCAGTAACAATAGAAACATTAAAAAATCAATACTAACCAAACATTATAAAATAATAAAGAAAAAAAACAAACAACAAAAACAAAACTTCCCATTCGAACCTATCGCGGTCATACACCAAAGATGAGTAGAACAATAAATCTGTCAACAACAAATGCGTAAAGCACCAAACCCAGTAATTTCAAGAACGGCCCCAACAAAACAAAGTTTAATTTTAACCCAAACGAGACCAATAATAAACATTTGACATTTAGAACATAACACTCAATAAATCAAGAAAACCCAAACATAGTAAAAACAGCACACTAATCAAACTCTAATGGATTTTGTAAACACATTAGATTATACACAAAAAGACAAAGACTTAATAATCACATGTAATCCCGTAATTCACCAGGCCTACAAACTTTGTAGGCCTGGTGAATTACCCGGTGGCTTTGTAGTACAAAGCCACCGGGTTTCTACTTTCTCAAGTAGAAAATATCCGTAGAAACAACAATAATACATATAAAAAAGTAAATGGTGAACAGGGAACAACAAACCAACATCGTAATAGACCAAAAAAATACCTATAGGTATTTTATATATGCCTCGAAGGTCAATAAACCCACAAATCTTAATTAGGTAACACAAAAAACCAACTACTAACATAAACATAAACAAAGGCTCCTGCAGCAAAATAACAACTCCAAAACTCCATACAGTAATGCCAAATGTTTGGAGTAATACTTACTGCCTGGTCTAGGGGGGTACCGCGTCGTACTTAGATTTGAGTCGGCGTAATTGTCCCCCAAACATCAAATTAATCTATCCCTCCCGTCCTACCTCCTTCATGACCCTACTGGACGTATAGCATCGGCCCGGCGAACCCAAGAATGGCTACTAAAACTATTGGCATTTCGCTCTCGAGCCCTAATTAGGAGACAGTACGGCACGCAATGGACATTCGCAACCAGCAATTACAGGTGAAGCCGTGCCGTTGCTGGTGGCGAAAGAAAATCGGCGCAAGGAAACAGAGGCCTATGCGGGCCCGGGAGCTATGAGGCAATGGGGCCGGTTATACGTCTCTTATACTCATACTTATACCCAAAGACTTAAATAGATTATAAACGCTTTTAGAATTTCAAAGCGATATCTTCTTCCGTTCCCCAGAAACTTCCAATGGACTACGAATGTGAAACACCCTGTATATCAGGTGGTGTTTTTTAGGTTATGATGCCACTATAATATAGTCACGGCCAAATCTATATGGGTGCACGTCATCAATGAGATATAATGACGTCAGCATTACCAACTTTGAATTGTAAAGTTACTGCCGTTAAATTTGCTTTTTTAAGGCGTAATTCTGATGTCTTATTAAAAAGAAATCATTCATTTGCGTATTGTTTACCAAGAACTGTAACAATTTCCTTGTTTTAAAACGTTTTTTCACGAAATTATCAAAATAAAACCATTCACTTAGTAATTTTTGTGTGTGCCAGTTGGTAATAGCTTAAGGCTGGCGCGCACCGTTCAATATTATTGATGGGTCGCTGTCATTTTATATTTGACGTATTTTTGTAATTGTGACATTTCGTCCTGAAGCATCGTTTGTTGCAAATTATTATAAATAATATTATACATTATGTTTATAAGATTCTATCCCTGGATTGTGCAAACAATGATATAAGGCTTGTTAGATTTCGAAGACATTGCGCCCTTAATAATAAATTTGGGGAAATAATCAGACTTCAATTCTGACCTGGTTTGCTCTGATGACAAGGTCATGTGCATATGTAATAAAAATGTAATAAACTCCGTTTGTTTTCTCTTTAAACACATTTAATAAAAATTTGCCTGTAACAAACTCCTAATTAGTTAGTGCAGAAGATTATAACAAGGACGTTATAATTCCATCTTAATAACAGACCCCACCGCTATAAACAGTCAACAATACACGAGCGTTAGATTGTGTCTGGGCACGTATGAATAGACCTTAACGCTGACGTCATATGCCGTTGATGACGTGCACCCATACAGATTTGGCCGTGACTATACTTATATTATATTCTAAAGCAATTGCCACATTAATGTATAATTGTCAAACTAAAAGAGCAAGATTTGTTTCCAACATAATATATTATATTGAATATAATATAAATACAAATCTGTTGATTTATTTAAAAAAAAAACCAAAAATTAATAACAGAAATTATTTTTTCTTGATTAAAAATGAAACAAAATTATTATTTCCTTTAAGTATCATTTTTGTATTATGTAAAAACACAATATTAAAACAAAATGATTTAAAACAATATGGATGGAGATTCTCCATTCTCCATTGGAGAATTAAAAATCTGTAGGTTAAAATAATTAGAATGGCTGTATAAAAAATTTAAATGACGTAATTTCGTGAAACGGTGAGACACGGGTAAATTTTTTTAACCTTTATTTTTAATTATTAAAATTTTTCATGGGAGGGAAATCGTGTTGAACTGTTTAATAAGATTTGAAGTAATATGCATAGTAACCAAAGCTAACAAACCCCAAAAATAATCACACAGATCTGAGGTTATTACCTATTATTATATTTAATTATCTATGACTAACCCAACCAAACCATCATCCACCCCCCTCCAATTTTTTTAGTAATGTTAATAACATTTAACGAAAATACGATAATTTGGTAAAAAAACGAAATTATGACCCAAGTAATTTTATACAAAAGTATGTTAAAATAAATTATTGCAGTGGAACAATATTGCAATAAGAAATTAATACAATGAAACATTATTTTACTAATTTAAATAATAAATTAACATATTTTATAAAATTTTGACGCAATAAATAAGCAATCTGTAATACACATCAATTGTTTTAAAAATAACTTTCGTATTATTTTTTTTTGTTGCAAAAATATGTTGCTCTGAATATTACCTACAGTTTATATAACTACTTTCTACGAAAAAACAATATCACATTTTTATCACGTTCGATTCAAATTAAAATGAAATATTCCTTTTAAATTAATTTTTTTTTATCAAATATCGCGAAATATTTTTGACAGTACAATTTTCAGTAAATAAATTTACAAAATTAAAGAAAATTAAATTTATAAGCAAGCAGTAAAATTACTGAAAATTTACTCAAACTTGTTTGATTTTAGCTCAAAATTTTAACGCATTTAAAAGCAAAGTTAAAATATAAAAATTCATCCAAAAAATTTGGCCAGCAGCATTTAATGTTAAAATAACTACATGTTTTACACGAAAACGGTGAAATAATAGGTTATTTTTACTACATAATAACTATTAAAGCGACCAAAATAATAAGTTAATAGAACAAATTAAATACCACATGTTAACGTAAAAATTACTTGAGTGAAATTCACGAAAATCATCGATTTTTATTAGCGTTATCTAATATTCTCCTTTTGTTTACAGTTTAAAAAAAAAATTTTTGCAAGTTCCCAAAAAATGTATTAAAAGTTTAAATTTAAATAACCAAAATATACTTACCTCTTTTAGCGCCATTTCTCAATTTTTCCAACTTTCTATTTTTTTCTGCGATGGTACGCTCTATAATGCTATTTAGTTTTGATTGCGATCTTTTTTTACTATTCTCGTGAACTTCCTCCAACATTTTTTGTAGTAGCTCCATCCTCATATCTTGTATTTCTTGAATTTCCTAACAAAAAAGTATAAATTTTGTTATAAAAGTACTATATATATATATGAATATTTTACTAGACGGAGTCAAAAAGCAAGGATCCTATTAAAAATGCCATATAGAAACACAAAATAAAAATCTATCTGGTTCAATATAGGAATTTGAAACAGGCATTGCACTATTGAACCAGATAGAGTTCCATACCTGGAAAACCATATAGAAAAGTGATTTCTATATGGATTGCCATATAGGTTTATATTGCTCTATCTGGCCCAATATGGTTTGGGTATGAAAAAATTATTACCATATAGATCCATATTTAACCATATAGGGGAATCTATATGGTTTAATATGCAATTTTCGTTTAAATATATATACATTTTAAAATGGAATTCCATATTCAACCATATAGGGAAACCTATATGGAAAAACACATAAAACAGAAACCAGATAAATCCATATAAAAATCCCTAATTTGTACATTTTAAAATGAAATTCCATATTAAACCATATAGATTCCAAAGTGTAAACCAGGTCGTTCCATATAGGACATATAGAACCATATAAATCCATATTAGTTTCCTTATCTGGATCAATATAGGTTCTATAGGGCATTTTTAAATTCGAATTTAACGTACAGTTTCGGAAAAAAGTAATGTCCAATTGAATGATCCATTGTAATTGTTCGGAGGCATTCGGGTTTTGCTAATAAAATTAACATATCTATTTTTAAACTCAATAATTCTACCTACCTGCTATTTACCATTCTTTCTAGTAGAAAGTTTCTACGCACATTTTATTTGAGTTTTAAGCTTTTATGCAATAATTAAATATTTAGGGAATAACATTGATTTTGAAATTATTTAAATATAATATAATATATTATAACATTATTATGTTTTATAACTTATTAAATAAAGTATATATTATTTAATAAGTTGTTATTAATAAAATAATATATTTAAATGAAATAAATACATTTAATACTAAAATAATTATAAACTTTTGCATAATTTTGCAAATAAAATTGTTAATAACTCTCTTTAATGTATTTACCTGTTTGTGGGATTTTTTGTTACCTGGGCAATTTAAATTAAAATATTTATTCTCACTATGTAAATTAAAGCCATTAAAATTTTAAACTAAAATGCACTTTGTGCTTTATTGCACTATTAATACGTTTGTCTACTTCTATTGCATATTATTGACATTTTTTTTCGTAAATAATGTTAACCAATATAACCGCCCGGCCTATCAACGTGAATAATAAACTCATTATTCACGTTGTTAGGCATCAGTGATTGGCTTATTTCAATATTCTCTGTTATTTGAACAGATCGGGTTTTAAATTGGAAAAAAGTAAGGTCGACCGAATCATTTAAAAATAGTCTATGTGCCATGCAAAAAGACAAAAAAAATATTCTCCATATTAATTTTGTATTTTAAAGATGGGTGAATTTTCATTGATTTCTCACAATTTTGTGTAATACTATGTTTTTACCACTCCAATTAAGTAATTTTTATTGATAATAAAATTTATTGTAACCTCACTTTCCTCCGATTTTAAAATTAAATTAAATTTTATAGTCGCCCCTCGTATATTTAAATATATCTGACATCATCTTTAAAATACAAAATTAATATGGAGAATATTTTTTTTGTCTTTTTGCATGGCACATAGACTACCTATTTTTAAATGATAATTTAATATTTGACCAAATTGGGTCCAAACCCTTTGGGAATACCATGCTTTAACTATAATTATTTACCATTTCTTTATAAATAAAAAGGCCGCTTTCTTTTCTCATGGTTTTGGATAATATTTTCCTAAAAAAGGGTCCTACTAAATTTTACCATAAATTTTGTTTCGCTGAAAAAGTTTAAAAATCTTGAAAATTTTTATAAATTTTACCTTGAATACCTTTTAAAAAAGCCCTAACAAAATTTGTTAGACCCTGTATATTTATTTGGTAACAGTTTGTTTTTCTAATGTATATACGTACATAAAATAAACAATATTTTTTATAATTAATCTAAAATAACACCAAAATGTGAATGCAACGAAGTAAACCTTTAAAGGTCCATAACATTGGCTGACAAAATGAACACCCATTTATTTACATGTATGTATCTGAGATGTCCTATTTCCACCCAACCGAAGCTAAAATTTTGAACACACTTTTGGTGCTGGAGACAATACAATCTAGTTCAGTCAATATTGTAATTTATTCCAAGACGGCGGATTACCTAGCTATTTCTTCACACCCATGGGTAACAAATAAAAGGGTTTGTCAAGCAGAATACTTGACGTTATTCTAATTTTTTGGTGGATATAACTAACTAACTACATTTTAAGACTAAAAAGAAAAAAAAATGCATGCAAAAACCATGGTTTAAAAAACTAAAAACGCACTAAAAATTAACTTAAAATATATTGTGCTATGGGTGATTCTACAAAAGTTTGACAACTTCATGTCATCAGTCAATAGAGTAGGTATTTTAATATTTTTTGTAAATATTTTAGTATTTTACAAAAGATCCAGGTTTTTTTAACTTGTCCACCCAATTTTAATGTATTTTTCAAAAGCACGTTTGTAGAAAAACATAATAAATATTCAAAACATCAGTACCTTGGCGTGTCACAACTCTTGAATCAAATATTTGAGTGATTTTATTTTAAAATATATTCAATTTATCTTAAATTTTTTAATTTCACTACCAACTATACAACATTAAATAATGTATTTTTCATATTTTATCATAGATTCCTATGGCACGCCGTTTTACTTTTTAATCGGATAAAAAATATTAAGTTAAATATTAATACTTTAAAAATAAATTGCACTGAAAAATAATACCTTCAAAATAATACATTAATTAGAATTATACATGTCAAAGAAGTTATTCTTTTTTTAAATATGTTTATATAAGATGTTGAATTATTTATTTAATGTAATTTTTCTGTCTGCAATATTTTTGTGACACATTAATATTTAACTTAATATTTCTTATACAATTAAAAAGTAAAACGGCGTGCCATAATTAATTTTATATCTACGCAAATTTTAATTCTAATAAAAATGATACAATTAATTTTACACAACACATAAAATTAATGCACTGAATTTTTATTATGTAATTAAAATTATAACTATACTATAATAAAAATAAAAATTTTAGAATTAATTTTATCTAGATAAAATTATATAATTAATTTTATCTAGATAAAATTATATAATTAATTTTATCTAGATAAAATTAATTCTATAATTTTTATTATGTAAAGTCAAAATTTTAATTGTAACATTAAAATTCATTGCATTAATTTTATCTAGATAAAATTATATAATTAATTTTATCTAGATAAAATTAATTCTATAATTTTTATTATGTAAAGTCAAAATTTTAATTGTAACATTAAAATTCATTGCATTAATTTTATCTAGATAAAATTATATAATTAATTTTATCTAGATAAAATTATATAATTAATTTTATCCAGATAAAATTAATTCGGCGCTGTGGTAGTGCGGCTGAAAGTGGCAACTGCAGTAGTTCATGTGCATAGTATATGTTTTATATTGAACAAAACTTATTTTTAAGGATTTATAAGCTCAGGCAGGCTTGCGAACAGTTCCAACAATCAATAACACAAAAACCACAAACAGATCTCTCGCATATTGGCGCCAAACTAGACAAACTTTGATAAATTAAACGTGCCTACTATATGATCTACTGCAGTTGCCACTTTCGACCGCACTCCAAAGCGCCGAATTAATTTTATCTAGATAAAATTAATTATATAATTTTATCTAGATAAAATTAATGCAATGAATTTTAATGTTACAATTAAAATTTTGACTTTACATAATAAAAATTATAGAATTAATTTTATCTAGATAAAATTAATTATATAATTTTATCTAGATAAAATTAATTATATAATTTTATCTAGATAAAATTAATTCTATAATTTTTATTATGTAAAGTCAAAATTTTAATTGTAACATTAAAATTCATTGCATTAATTTTATGTGTACACATAAATTTAATTGTATCATTTTTATTAGAATTAATTTTATGTGTACAGATAAAATTAATTGTAAAATAAAAATGATTGTCGTGTTATAAATAGGAAATTGCAACTTAAAAAATAATAGATTAAAATAAAATAGTTTAAAAATCTTGTTTACAAAAAAAATTGTTCCACAATGTTTTTAGTCTCACAATAATTCCAATATAAATTTCACAGTATAAAAATAAAGAACCTCATACGAAATAAAAATGGACCAAATTTAAATGATGCAAATATTAATTCAACTAACAAAATTTTTAAAATATTTTTAAACAGTTTACATATTATTTCGTTAGTTGAATTAATATTTGCATCATTTAAATTTGGTCCATTTTTATTTCGTATGAGGTTCTTTATTTTTATACTGTGAAATTTATATTGGAATTATTGTGTGACTAAAAACATTGTTGAACAATTTTTTTTGTAAACAAGATTTTTAAACTATTTTATTTTAATCTATTATTTTTTAAGTTGCAATTTCCTATTTATAACACGACAATCATTTTTATTTTACAATTAATTTTATCTGTACACATAAAATTAATTCTAATAAAAATGATACAATTAATTTTATGTGTACACATAAAATTAATGCAATGAATTTTAATGTTATCTAGATAAAATTATATAATTAATTTTATCTAGATAAAATTAATTCTATAATTTTTATTATGTAAAGTCAAAATTTTAATTGTAACATTAAAATTCATTGCATTAATTTTATCTAGATAAAATTAAATAATTAATTTTATCTAGATAAAATTATATAATTAATTTTATCTAGATAAAATTAATTCGGCGCTGTGGTAGTGCGGCTGAAAGTGGCATCTGCCGTAGTTCATGTGCATAGTATATGTTTTATATTGAACAAAACTTATTTTTAAGGATTTATAAGCTCAGGCAGGCTTGCGAACAGTTCCAACAATCAATAACACAAAAACCACAAACAGATCTCTCGCATATTGGCGCCAAACTAGACAAACTTTGATAAATTAAACGTGCCTACTATATGATCTACTGCAGTTGCCACTTTCGACCGCACTCCAAAGCGCCGAATTAATTTTATCTAGATAAAATTAATTATATAATTTTATCTAGATAAAATTAATGCAATGAATTTTAATGTTACAATTAAAATTTTGACTTTACATAATAAAAATTATAGAATTAATTTTATCTAGATAAAATTAATTATATAATTTTATCTAGATAAAATTAATTATATAATTTTATCTAGATAAAATTAATTCTAAAATGTTTATTTTTATTATAGTATAGTTATAATTTTAATTACATAATAAAAATTCAGTGCATTAATTTTATGTGTTGTGTAAAATTAATTGTATCATTTTTATTAGAATTAAAATTTGCGTAGATATAAAATTAATTATGGCACGCCGTTTTACTTTTTAATTGTATAAGAAATATTAAGTTAAATATTAATGTGTCACAAAAATATTGCAGACAGAAAAATTACATTAAATAAATAATTCAACATCTTATATAAACATATTTAAAAAAAGAATAACTTCTTTGACATGTATAATTCTAATTAATGTATTATTTTGAAGGTATTATTTTTCAGTGCAATTTATTTTTAAAGTATTAATATTTAACTTAATATTTTTATCCGATTAAAAAGTAAAACGGCGTGCCATAGATTCCAATGTTAAAATTCAAAATTCCTGCGAAATATTGAAGTTTAAACGTCAAGTCCTCGTTTTAACTTAAGTTTTGGTAAAAAATTACCTACAGAGCCCGCCCTTTGTACGACAGTCATCTTGAAAACAATGCAATCGGCGAAGTTGTGGTGAATGCACGTATAGTGCCAGTCAAAATTTCAGTACTGTGGTAAGTAGTTATTTTCTATTCTATTCTATTATATATTTCATTGTAATTTATATAAGGCTATATGTGATTTGTTGATAAGTAGCATCCACTAATAAAAAATATCAGTAAAATACTTAATTCCGAATTATAATCTCAAATTTGTATCCCATTCATCAGTACCGTGTCGTCGGTTCCATGTTCGATGTTTTGGTTATCTTTTTTTTCGCAAACTTCAATTTAAATTCTGCTTGCGCAGAACTTGTTTATTTAATGTCGTTATAAACTCATATAAATTTGGTGTGGGTCCCATATCTAATAATTGAGATATCGGTATGCCCAAAATCCACCAGCCGCCACTGATGTGTGGTATTATTTGATTTTAAGATATTTAATGTTTAATATGCTTAAAGTTGCAAAAAATCTTATATTTTCCAATAAATTATGTATTTAATTAGAACCCTGGTATACTCGTCACTTCCCTTGCATTCAAATTTAGAAAACACAAATATTTCGGAAACTGTTTGAAAAAGTGACTGACCCGGTCTGGAACAGTATATTTATTATATTATCTATGTTCTCATAACAAAATACTGTTTAATTTTCTCCGAAAACTATATAAACAAAATGAGGTCAAAAGTTACCCAACTTTTTGTAGAATCACCCCTATATATTAATAAACTTGTCACTTCTTAATGTTCAATTAGCGCCCCGTGCTTTTTGGCATAGTCATATTAAACATTAAGAGAGATGTTTATTAATAGCACAAAATAACGTGTTTGTAGTTTTTTTTAATTTTAGGTAGGTGCTTCTGTTTAGTATTTTTTAAAGAAGTTTTAATTTTTATCTACCTTTTCTCTAAAAGCCCATTCATCCAGTTCTAGTGCTTCTAGATACTCCTTCAACTGATTCATGGATTGTTCATCTGCAACGTTTGGCTTTATGGCTTTTTCCCATGCCCTTTTCATTCTTGCCCTTTCTATTAATTCGATTTCGTGTTGACCAGCTGGTAAACCCTCACCTAAAGTGTTAAAAATAAATATTTTAAAATGAAAATGTTTTTTGATGTAACCCCATTTTAGGAAGCTTAAAAGAAGCACCTCAGGTTCTCCTTCGCCAATAATTTTGTATGGTGGCTCCCAAGGTTCTGTTTGGGCTTCTGCATTGGAATACACTGTGTTTGTGGCTACATTAATTTGCGTTTTACCCTCATTTTTCTCTGGTACCTAATAAATAATTTTTTATATATTCATTTTGCAAAAGTTATCTAATTTATACTTTTTTTATATGAAATGGCGCTATAGTCCTATATGGTAAAATATCCCTAGGTGGAAAATTGGTGATAGGGAGTTTAAAGAACTTGCATTTGTCTTTTCCCAGTACATTGGACGAAATAACTTCAAATGATTCAGTGGACATTTTCGGTTTGTTATCAGGTTCCACGTAAAGTGGTATCGATTCGCTTCTTCGTCTTACTAATTTTTGGCGAGGATAGTTGCGAAGGTCCGAAAACATGTTTGGAAATATTGGGCATATTTGCTAAAAAATATGTTTTTATTTTAAAATTGTATTTAAAGGTAAATTATTTTGCTCACAAATTTTGCGGTTGTTATTTTGCATTTAACTGCTTCTTTGTAGTGGTCTGTAGGACCAGAGACCGAAAATATGGGATCTATAAAAATACCAAAGTATTATAAATTTACAAAGTAATTAAAATTATATGTATTTGTGGCTTACCGTACATATAATCATATGGTCTATAAGGAAAACAGTGAGTACTCATTGTTATCGTTTTAAAAGTTTCCACTAAAAACTCAATTAAATAGGTAAAATCGCTTAAAAATATTGAGAAGACTTCTAATGTTTAGGTTGCGTCAAAATTGACGCATAGGCATGTTTTGTCAATATTTACTCCAAATAGGCCACAAGTGGTTGTATATTATACATAAAGCAGGGTATTTATATAAATATGTTAAAACTAATATTGTGTAAATGTAAATAACTGTTGCTATAATAAAGGTATTTAAATTTAACATTTTTTAAATGACTCAGAGTTTACATATCAGATTCTGTTAATATATACAGGGTGTTTTAACTTTTTATTGCTATTTTAAATGGAGCAAGTAACCCCAATAACTGACATTTATACAATGAAGTTTCTAAAACAAATTATGTACGAGTATAAAACATATTGACTCGGTCATGTAAAAATTAAAATATTTTCTAACTTTAATGGATCACTTTTATTTGTGTTTTAAATGTTTTAAACGTTAAATATACAATACAAATATACAAATATACGTTACAATACAGAAAAATTATAACATGTGAAGAGAAACATTTAAAGAAATATTCAAAATCAATAATCTAGCTCATGTAAAAATTAAAATTTTTTCTAACTAAATGGATCATTTTTATTAGTGTTTTAAACGTTAAATATTACAATACAGAAAAAATATAACAGGTGTAGAGAAACATTTAAAGAAATATTAAATCAATAATCTCACATACACGCAATGCATCATCTCCAAGTAGCATTTACAGTGGATGAAACGTATCGGCCACTATACTCCAGTGGATCTGTAAAGTGAATTACCAAAATCTATGCCATGTGGTAAAAACCGGTCTATAACGTTAAAGTGACTAAAATGGGGAACACTTTTTTAGTGTCAGTTACGTCCAGGGTTGCCAGTTCTACTGATTTTTCAGTAGATCTACTGATTTGCTGATTGATCTACTGATCTACTGAAAAATGTTGTAATCTACTGAAAAAAATATGACGTTTATTTATTATGGTTATCAATAATATTTATTTAATCACTTACATTTATCTTGCATTAAATTCCGAACGCTCTATTTAAATAAAGTTACAAGCATTTTTAAAATTCTAACGCGTCTTAGCGCTTGATATGTTGGTAATACTGACCACGGGCCACGGGGAATCCCCGTCGGGGATTACGGGGGAATTATGTCAAAGAGAAGTGGTTATGTGAAAGACCATGGGGACGGGAACTTCCCAGCTGCGACTGAATTTGTTTTCAAGTGAGGACTATAACTATAAAATAAAGATTCCGGTCCGTCAAAGAAAAAAAAAATAAATATGATCAACATCGGAATTCGAAGGTATGTTTATATATATTTTTTAATGAAAATGTTTGGTTATAATCAAGGTTATAACACATTTTTTGTTACTATTTTGTTACCCTTTGTTACTTTTTTTCATTTCTAAATAAATACATATTTTTTCGACGTTATAGTTTTATTTTAGTACCCTTTTCTGAAATTTGTAGAGCAAAAAATAAGTCTACTGAAATCTACTGAATATTTGACTACATATTTACTGAAGGAATTAAAACCGAACTGGCAACCCTGGTTACGTCCCAACAACGTTCTTGGATTGTATACAGACACGTTTATACCACTTTGTGATTACGTTACTATAACGTGGAGGTATAGTGGCTAAAACTTAAGCGAAACTTTACTACTATTTCTACTACTATCTCTACTACTTTCTGAAAGTAAACATTAAACTGACAATAAATACTTAAATTATTATAATGTAAGAATACAATTTGCAAATAATAACTAGAATTAAAATAATACGAAGACATAAAATATACACGAATAAAATTTTACTATCAAACACGGGTGACATAGGCTATAACTCATAGCTCAAAATTTAAGCGCGCCCCGTTGAAATATGTGCAAATTGTTCTCGTAATGTAGTTGTTATATTACTTTAATTAATACACTGTACACGTTTAATATAGTTTATTAAACAATAATATAAAGAGAACACGTTTACATCTGTTTGTCAAGTACCTATAGGTATAGATATATATATTAATAATGCCTATTATGACACCTCCCCTTTTACAAAACTAACTAAATGTTTTTAAACATTATGTATTAAAATACATAACAAAATCCCTAAACCTATGGGGTATTTTTATGTCTCTCCTATTACTAACTCTATCTGACACATTTGAACTAGTATTTGTCTCACAATCTGCGTCATTCGCTTATCGCTATAAATCTGGTTCTTCAACTACAACTGTTTTGTTTAGTGATGGCCTTAAGTGATTTGAGTTTCGTCTAAGTTTAGTACCCAGACTTGTTTCTATTTCATAAGACCGTGGTTCATCTAATTTTTTAACGGTTGTACCTGGTTCCCATTTTTCCTTTTCTCTGATAACTATTACCTACAACACTTTTTCTTCATTTTTTTCCCTTTTTTTCTCTTGCCTTTCTATCATATTATTTTTTATATAAATTCCGATTTCTTTTTAAACCTTTATTGTAATTTTTAAGTTTTCCGGTTTACTTACTAATAAAGGTCATTTGGTTTTAGTTTTTCTTCTTATATATTATTATAAAAGCTCTGCTGGCGACCCTTTTAGCCCTTTTATTGGGGTATTTCGATACTCCATTAAACCTAAAAGAAAGTCAATTTGAAGCGCCCTTTCAGCTAAACCGTTGCTTTTAGGATATCGTGGGCTACTAGATTTAATTTCGAGGCCCCTCTTTGGCAAATTTTTTACATTGATAGGAATATGGCATGTTGTCTGATACAACTATGTCTGGTATTTCATGAACTGAGAAAATTTGCTTTAAGGCATGTATTATATCTGATCTTTGTTTATTTTTATGTATATCTATAACATAATTACCGGGTACCCCTCTGGATCTCGGAATGATGACTCATCGCCGATGAGCGATCGAGAGCGGTGTGGAGCTCGCTGGAATGTTCGGGAAGGTGCTTGCGTGACGTGAGTCCCCCCGTAAAAATAATATTAACTTAAACTTTAACTTGAATCTAAAAGGATGTTTTAAATTTCTAGGAGTTTTCCTGGATGCTCAGCTTCGTTGGGAAAATCATATTGACTCTGTTTGCAAAAAAATCAGTAGTTCAATATTTGCACTAAGATCACTCTCTCATAATTTATCAAGGCAAGCTCTATTAAATACTTATCCTACTTTGTCTTATAACATAATACTATGGGGCAGAGCATCGACAATAAACCGAGTATTCGTACTACAAAAAAGAGCAATCAGAATTATTTTTAACCTTGACTCCATGGAATCATGTAAGGATGTATTTGTAAATAATAATATTCTTACAGTTTATGGTATATATAATCTAATAAAATATGTCAGTTCCAACTATTCCAAATTCTTATGTAACAACGATTATAACAAATATAAGACAAGAAATGACTCATGCCTAAGTGTTCCGAGACACTCAACTATTCTGTATGAGAAATCGCCTTATTACTATGGAATAAAAGCCTACAATAGCTTACCAGTAAAATAAAAACAATTACAAATCCTAAAAAATTAAATAAAGAACTCAAAAAGTTTTAAATAACTAAATGTCCATACGGGTTTTTTGTTCTGATTTTTTGATTGTTTCAATACTTTTAATTTTGTTTTGTACCATCTTGTGCTTTTTGTAATGTTTATACATTATGTGTTTGACCTGTCCTATAAATACTAGATATTGTATTTCGTTTGGATCAATAAAGATTATTATTATTATTCCTAATTTGGCAGAGCTGTCTTACCCTTTAAGAGAGTTATTAAAAAATAACATACCTAATATTTTATTGGTTGGTTTATTGGAAGTTCATGAAAATACGTTAAAACAAATTAAAGAGATCATTATAATGATTGCTATAGCAATGGTAATGAAAAAGAATATAAAAAATTGTACTAAAAATTACTTATCTAAAGGCCTCAAATAATTTCTTTATTATTTCTGGTTACCTGAAACCAATAATTATGTATTAACGTTGTTACAGCCCTTTCCAGTCCGTTCCTGGATTAAGAAGATTTTTAGGAAGACAGCTGTTGTTATTTTATCTTGGTGACAATTTCTATTTTTTGATGTAATGAAAGTGTGCCCTTATATATACCGTACCTTCATTTGCAAGCTAACCATAGGGAAAATACATTGTAACTGAACCAGATAAGTCGCAGTCAACACAAAGCGAGAACCTTTTTAGAAATGATTTGGATGCGTCGTCGAGACATGCGTACTAAAACAAATTTTACCAGATTTACACCACACAAGCAAGGTCAACTGTTACGGCGCATGCTAGCCTGCTCGTCCACGCGTCCAAATCATTTCTACAACGTTTTTTGCTTCGTGCTTACTAAGACTTATCTGGTCCAGTTACAATGTATTTTCCCTATGTTTAGCTTGCAAATGAAGCTACAGTATATATATATATCTCACATGGGCGACAACAGTGTCATAAGTAGTAAAACCTTAATTCCGAGATAATGACCGTCAAAGATTTTGTTATAACAAAATTCTAACATATTTGTAAAATTATATAAACTTACAGTATTTTCTTTGAAAAGGAGGAACCACACTAAGATTCTGAGCCATTAAAAATTAGATTTTAAACAATACTCTTTTTGAATAAGAGCTATTTGTAGATATGTCTGTGTTTCCGTAGAAGGTGTTATAAAGTTATAAAGTGCTCTTTTAGTTCCACCCTTACATCCAAACTAAGATGTCCCATAAGCCAACTGAATGGCTTGTGCGGGTTAGGGGTAGGAACGAAACGGGTGCATCAATTTTGAAGATATGTCTGTATTGCTGAAAATATGTGCAAGAATTTTGCAGATATGTCTGTATTGCTAAAAATGTGTTGATCAATTTTAAATTATTCATTCTTTTATTGTTGATTAAGAATATGACTGACTCCATCGGCAACGCCTTACACTGATTTTCCGCCACTGCACAGCATTGCCTGTGTTTGGTGGATCCGAATTTTTACCCCGGCTGGTAAATCTCGTCTAGGAGGTCGTGGATGACAGTGTCGATGGTTAAGGCCACTCCCGGAATTTTGTCGCCGGGCCATACGCCCAATTTAGGCTAGTGGAGTGCAGACAAGGAGGGAAAACATTTTGGTTTTTGAAGGACATTGAACTGATCCATAACAATCCGCAGTCCCCCTCAACCAGGGATTTAGAGACTGCTTATGTGAGCCCTTATTTATGAGTTCTTTGGCCATGCTTCCGGTTCTTATGTCAACTTTTGGCGACTAATTAATTTTTACCTCGCGGAGTTCTCTATAAGTTAAGGTTGCGAATTTCGCATTAAAATTTAGTTTTTAAGTATTATTAAGGTCAGGGGCGTAGCTACCGCCGTATCAGCCGTATCAATGATACGGGGCCCCCGGCTAGGGGGGGCCCCCGATTGGCTTCGACATGCGTAAGAAAAAATATATTAACCACAAAAAATTGAGACATGAAATTAAATAAATAAATAATATTATTATTTAATTGTTTATACTTTGATTTATTAAATTAAACCAACAAGGCCGTGAACTCATACGAATTGTTTCTGCCCGCACCTTTCCGCTATTCGTTGTCTGCGCCGCATACTGAGTCTGCTTTGGGGGTTATTATCATAGGTTATATTAATAGCAAATTAAAAATTATTATTAGCGTTACAATTATTTCAAATGACGCCTTTATTTTAAAATATAAACCTTTTAAAAGATGTTGTAGAACGGTAAATGTCTAAAACCAGAACAAATTTTAAAATTTTCCTGTACATAAAAGGATATACATTAAGGTGGTCCATCTTTTGAGAATTTTTGAATTTTCTTGCTCTCAGTTGCTCATAGTGTTTAAAATAAATAAAACAAAATATTTTCCAAGTTTCAAGTCCTTATCTCAATATTAACCCTTGCCACGTTGCAGTGTAATTTTCCTATATAAATGATAGTGTTTTTGGCATTGAATAATTAAAAATTTTAAACTTGTCAGAATTTAATCTTGTAATAGTAGCTATTTCTAAGAATTTTTACAGATTTTTAGCTATAATTATTTTAGAGGTTTAGCTAGATGATTTTTTTAAATATAAAAAAATCATTTAAAAGCTATAGCTATAGTATACTATTATAACTTATTTTATTTTTTTAAACACTTACTATGACATGATTGAAAAATTAATTACCTATTCAAAAACCACGTTATCCAGATGGGAAACTAACATTGCATTGCGGCATGGGTTGACATTAAGAAAAAAATTTGAAACTTGACAGAATTGAACCTCATAATTTATAAGGTTCAATTCTGCCAAGTTTTAAATATTTTTGTACGCTGCGAGATTATATTGCCAAATTTTTTCCAACATGAAAGATCATAATAGTACATATTAAATATTCGTATAAACGTTGCCATCTTAAAATATGGGTGGAAGATTAAAATTTCCGAATTCAAAAAAGGTCCTTATTTAAAAAAACTGTTTTATTCTCCCAGGGGCTTAAAGGGTTCGAAATAAATAAAAAAATCCTATCTTAATCCCATGCCGCAATACAATGTTAGTTTCCTATCTGGATACCGTGGATTTTGAATAGGTAATTAATTTTTTAAACAGGTCACAGTAAGTGTTTAAAAAAAATTTAAACTTGACAGAATTTTACCTTATAATAGTAGCTTTTCATAGAATTTTGTACAGATTTTTAGTAATTATAATAATTATGTTCAGCTAAATGATTTTCTTAAATTTAAATAAATCATCTATCTGAAACTCTAAAATTATAATAACTAAAAGTCTGTTAAAATTCTCAGGAATAGCTACTATTATAAGGTTAAATTCTGACAAGTTTAAAATTTTTCAGACAGTTACCTTGGCCGGAATAAATAATTAATTAATCAATGCCGAAAACCCTATGTTATTTATATATGAAACTTACATTGCAACGCGGCGCGAGTTAATATTGAGATAGGGACTTAAAACTTGGAAAATATTTTTTTTTATTTTGAACACTATGAGCCCCTGAGAGCAAGAAAATTCAAAAATTCTCAAAAGATGGACCACCCTAGTGTACATATATTATTTATTAAATGATAATCTAAACATTTTTTTGTTTTCCCAAAATAGACTTTGGGCGTGATACCTAGAAATTTTTTTGCCAGCCGCTTTTCCCGTATAAGGGCCCCTACCAGATTTTCGATACGGGGCCCCCTCGAGGCTAGCTACGCCACTGATTAAGGTCATCCAATTTTGGTAGGTTTACTTATCAGGTTTATGCAGACTTGGACTTTGGGGTGCATTGACAGGCAGGTGTTGTGAAATTATTCCTTAACCTCGACAGCCAACTATTAGCACGTGTTGTTTCTGTGTTGGTAATCCAGGAAAAATCATTCGTTGTATCCAATTACCTCACTTATACCCTTTTCCCAGAAATCCACACGCAATTTGCACTTGGTTTTGTTATATCACGTGTATAATCATTTGATTTTATGAATTAATTCAAATTTGAACACCGATAGCGGTGGTAGCACTATGAAAGTACGAACGCGTTAAACGAGAACCTAGACACACGACCGTTTGCCTTAAGGTGAGGAGGGTTACTTATTCATTCTTTTATTGTTGACAACTTTAATTTTACTAACCTACGCTAACAAAATTACCGTCACAACTTACAGCCAACTTACTTATGATGAAAATTATGATAGGGATTATACAAATTGCAAACAGACACAAGTCTCCATCTAGGGATTAATTTCAAAAAAAATTGTTTGCCACTGTTGCAGTATAAACTATGAGTAATTTTACACTTATTGCACTAAAAACCCCAAAATTCAATTTTTTTGACTTATGACACTGTTGTCGCCCATGTGCGATATGTATATTCTAAGAATATTATTCTTTATAATTAATCGTATATATCGTTTAAAACCAGACAAAATTAGGAAAATAAAACAAGCCAGAAAAATTGTGGAAAAATTAAGCACAGGATATTAACACAAATTAATATTTTTTTAATGTTATAATATTTACAGAAATAGATTATTTTTATGTAGGAAAATATGATGGTGTTTATATAAAATGTTCTATGCTTAAGTATAGATACATTGATACATACTTATTTACAACATTTAATATTATAGTCTTTACACTTAAGTACATTTTTAAGAAAGAAAAGTGAAAAAATAAAAAAAAACCTTTGAGCAATCTTAAAATTATTAGAAGTTTGTTACTACAAAAAGTAAATATTTCTTTTAACATAAACATTTTTATACAATGGAAATTACAAACTTAACATAGTTTAATTATATCTACAATAAGATTAGAATAAAAAAAATTTAAATGCAAATGATTACCTATGGGTCAGAATTCGTGAAATCAGCACGGCCATCATTTTTTTGTCGAAATGTTAAAAAAAACTTTTCTATTTGACCAAAATTTGTTTTATTTTATTTTTTAGCAAATGAAATGTTTCTTAACTTTTCAAACAAAATTTAGTTATTTTTAGATCGATACAAGGTGTAGAAATTGACTGAAATTTTTTTATAATAATTTATCCAATTTTATAAACATTTGATTGAACTTGTTAACTGGACCTGGATTTTGACCCCTATGTAATAAAAAAGTACACAATTTGTTAAAAATAAATATATTGTAGCACGGCCATTCCAAGCCCATGGACAGGACACATCAGAAACATGTCTAAATATATTCTTGTTACTTCCTTAAGTTTACTTATTTTTTCTACGAGTATTTATGAGAAGTATTAGCCAAATTTGGCTAATACTTCTCATAAATACTCGTAGAAAAAATAAGTAAACTTAAGGAAGTAACAAGAATATATTTAGACATGTTTCTGATGTGTCCTGTCTATGGGCTTGGAATGGCCGAGCAGTTAGGTAGATTGTCAGCATATTGGATTAAATCAATTATAATTTTACACATATTTTTTTTAGTTTGTTAATATTGTCTTTAGTTCTAGCGTAATATTTTAAAAAAATATTGTTTTTATAAAAAACATAAAATAAAAACATTTGGATTTACCTTCAAAATCTAACCAAATTATAAAAATACTGATAACAACAAAATAACTGATTTAAAACTTCTTCATTTTTCTTGGTTGGAAAACTCCATCTCCAAGTTTTCCTAAATACTGCGGCCAACTTTGTCGCTCGTAGGGTAAAAATTTGGGGCATTTTTCTTTTTTGGAGTCCAGATTTTCGCATTCGCATTTAATGTTTATCCTGTATACCGTCATTTGGCCCAATTTTAGTTGGAACAAATCGTTGAAAAAATCGAATTCGTTCTTCATGTTGGTTTGCTCTTCGTTGCATTCAGCTTGAAAAACTGCTTTTTGTTCTTCGATTGTGGTGGTTTTCGGGGAATTATCTATCAAAAATAATTATTATGGTTTAAAGTTTTGTTTAATCACAAAAATAAAATTTAAAATTATTTATGAAATAAATTTGCAAAAACTTTTTTTGAATTGGTTACCACGTGATCACGTGATTTTAATAGAAATAATTAAATAATTACATTTTACAACTTTTGAAGTGAAATTTAAAAAAGTAAACTTTTACAAATTTTAAATTTGGCGTCTTTTGCTCCAAAATATAGTTTATCAAGATCTACACTTTAAAACAAATCCGTTTAAAATCGCACAATAAATAAAGTTTTTACAGGGGTGTGTCGGAAACAAATGGGTCACACCAAAGAACACTATAGTGTGATATATATATAGTACATTAAATATCAAGTAGCGAAAGGCAACCATTTCTAAAGAGTGTAAAAGTTGCTCCGCGTGCGAAGTATACTCTTTATTTTTCATGACAAGCGCAGCGAAAAATTTACGCGTTTTTAACGCATAAACAAAAGCACTGAGTTTTTTATGATAATAAAGTGTTTGTTTAGATATATCAAGATACAAAAAATAGTATACAAATGTTTAACTCAAGAAAATCGGCAAATCGGCCATTTCAAGCGGGACAAATCACAAAACTGTTTTTATAAAAAAAATTGTAGGTAGGTAATTTATTATATATTATTTTTGCATCAAAATTGTTAAATATATTCTTCTATTATTAGTCTATACATAAAATTAAAAAATCGCAAGAAATATTTTATAAAAGTAGAGATAATTTCAATAATTGACAGGGGTGGACGGGACAAGGTAAATCTTTTTTTGTCCCGTCCACACCTTTCAATTATTAAAATTATATCTACTTTCATAAAATATTTCTTGCGTTTTTTTTTATTTAATGTATAACCTAATAAAAGAATAATATTTTTGACAATTTTGATCCCAAAATATTATATAATAAATAATCTACAATTTTTTTTATAAAAACAGTTTTGAAATTCGTGCGTTTCGCGCGCTTGAAATGGCCGAAATGAAACCAAGTTGGCTTCCAAATTTGTTCTTGTAAAATTTTGGACAAAAGCATATCTAATAATTTTTTCTGTAAAACTTGAATAGTAACCTCAAACAAAAACGTATTTTAAATTTTTCAAAATGTGACGAGTGCGACATTAGAACATTTTATCGAGTATTTAAACTCTTCCGTGTTTATTCTTTAAGGTACCGTAAACACGGGTGGCTTTGCACCCCGCGGGTGACTTTAACCCTTTTATGAAAAATCTTTTCGTGCCCATTAAAATTAACATTTATAATTTGTTGGTCTAACCTGTCAATTGAGCGATTCTATTAAGTTTATATCACAAAAAAATCAGTGTTTTAAAGAAATAAATGGGATTTATTTCACTTTAAAATTGTATATATGCATCAGTGCAAAACTCTTAAAAATACACGCGTTACAATTTCTATATTATGCACAATCCTTTGGAATGATGATCCTTGGTTAACCACAGGTTATTATTATATATTATTTTTTTTATCGGTAATCCCTTGCAATTGCTATATATCGCTGCTAACATGTTTCTAATAAAAATAAAATAAAATATTGAGTTAATTTTATACGGAAAATACACTGTGAGACAAAGTTACTCGCAACCAGGGGGTAACTTTGCACACCCAGTTTTTAATTTTTATTTTTGAAACTCAGCCCTATGTAATATTATAACATAGTTATTATGAAAGAGCAACTCAAGACTCAAATTTTGGTATACAATAATTAATGTTTATGATTGTTAAAACCACAACAATTTTAAGCTTAAGTTTGAAAGTTAGCTAAAGCCACCCGTGTTTACGGTAGCTTCTTAGCATTAAAATGTTATAAATTACGTCGCAATCAACTTTTGACTTTAGAAATAGTTTTTGTTTTTTTAAATAACATATCTGTTTTTTTGTCAAGGTGGGGTAAGGTTTCGCGGAAATACCCTATTGTACAGAAATATCATAGTAATATTAAAATTACAGGAGTTTCAAATTTTTTTTATAAAAATTAAAGTAATTTTTCTTCTAAAACTAAAAATGTACTAAAATCTATCCCGGGACCTAAATAGCAAAAAAAAGTAAACACCTTTGAACCCCCCTTACTATAATATTTAATTTGTTATTATCAACGTTTTACCTTACTAACAAGACGAAGAATGTTAAAATCTTATTAAATAAAGGGATGTTTTGTATAAGGGTTTACTTTTCGGACAACATGCGACCCCCCTTACACCTAAACGCTCTAAATTTGTATGATTTTGTGTAACATTTATACCAACCCTCTGATGATTTTCGTAATTTATCGTCAATACATTCTTGTATTTCCATTTTTAGTAGCTCCTTTTGGTTATTGAACTCTTGTTGCCAATATACAATAAAAACTAAATCTATAGAATCTAAACTTGAGTTAGTTGCATTTATTGGGTTTAAAACAGCACCTGAAACAAATATTTAAAATAGATTACATTACACAGGTTTACAAATTTTTAAACAGAAACCAAACCGAAGCTTTTTGATAGAAAATTAGAAAAACCCGGTTTTATTTAACATTTGAACATAAAGTTTGTTTTTTTATTCGGGATTTGACACATTTGATTGTGTTGGCTGCTTTTTCACTTGTACCATGGTTGTTAAATTTTGGGATACCTTGGTATTCTATGGTTAACCATGGTACAAGTGAAAAAGCAGCCACTAATAACTATTAAATTAGTCATTTTTGAGTAATTCAATTTTAGAGAGTTGTTTTTTTATTATTTAAAATTGGTACTCCTGTCCAAGGCCTTAATTTTAAATACTTTGTGAGAACTATAATAAACAATAGCTTTAATAACAAAAAAATCTAAACGAAAAGAAATTTTAAAAACAATAGCATTTTGATAAAATAATTCCAAATGACACAGGAGGAAAAGATTAACCGGCTAAAAGATTTTATAATCCTTATTAACGAGCTACAAGTATTAATGCTAAGTGAGTTCAGTGAAAGACCCATTCACCATCGGACAAAATTTAAGACAAATCTTCAAATATTTTTTTCAGATTTTTCAGTTTTGAGACATAGTTAATTTTCCATTTAACATGGAATTGACTATATCTTAAAAACTCCTGCACTTTCATAATTTTTACGGTATTTTCGGATTCAGGGGACAATTTTAAATATAAATTGGTTGTTAAATTTTGGGATACCATGGTACAAGTGAAAAAGCAGCCACTAATAACTATTAAATTAGTCATTTTTGACTAATTCATTTTTAGAGAGTACATCTTTCAGCAAAACGGATAATATCTTGTGGAAAAATATTTCCTGGTATAACCAAACGCATTTTTACTACTTTTGGGTTAGAATGTCTTAAAAATCTGACGTGATGTAGTCTGATTTTAATAATAAAATGTTTGTTTTATTTTGTAGATTTGACATTTTTATCTTACCAATTGAACTAATCTTCCTAATCTTGTTTGAACCCACATCAACATCCCTCTTTGCTCTATAGAGATTATTTTCCTTTTCTTCCTCCTCCTTTTCTGATTCTAAATCCCACAAACTGTACGACATATTCTTCATGGACTCTTTTTGCTTTTCTATGATTTTTTTAATCTCCTCATTCTCCTTAATCCTATCCTGGCGGTCGTTTATATCCCTTTGTTCAAAACGCGACTTTTTTAGCCGGCTCTCCTCGTTTTTAAAATACGTGTCCTTCAGAATATTAGTTGGCGTGTTGTTGATGTCATTTGACAAACGACTTCTAGCGTTTTTAATGTTCTGGTAATCGTAGATGCCGTATTTGTTTTCCGATAGGTTTTTCTTTTTGGATTTTGTTTCTCGGTTGGTTGCTATATGGGCGGCGGAGCTTGCCTTTTGCTTGCTTCTTGGGTCTCTGTCGTTGCCTTTATCGGGCAGATTCGCGTTGTAAGGGATGTTTGGTTTCTGGTTGTACGGGATTGCGTCGTAGAATAGCGCAGGGTCCATGTCATCGGCCCAGTCGGGGTCTTCTTGTTCGTAATTGGTGTCATATTTGGGCCCGTCCTGAAACTGAAATAACAACCTGTCAGAAAATACATCTGTCATACATGTTAACCAGTGTACCAGGTGAAAAATTTTTTGTCACCGATTTTGTTTAAACTTTACTTATTTGTTGTTCTTATAACGAAGAATCATAGCATAAATTTTTTTTGCTCTAGGATTGTTCATTCAAGAGTTATGGATTATTGTAATTTATCGATTTTTTACTTTTTGGTGAAATCGCTTTTTATTTAAAAATTCATAACTTCTGTTCATCTCTTTATTAAATATTTCAATTTAACCACCTTAAATGAATTTTTCCGTACTTTTCAATGGGCTATACCGTTTTTGCAAAAAAATAAAAATTGCAATTTTTTTTTGAAATTTTGCAAAATTTTGCATTTTTTGAAACAATGTGTATTTTTAATTTTTTTTTAAAATAGCATAAAATGCAAGTTTATTATGTTACCTTTGAATACAAAAAAAATTTAGAGTGGGCCCGACATGTAGAAGGGAAGTTTTTCATATTTGAATGCCGCACGGTCTAGCCATCGAATAGCTACTACACTGCCGTATGAGTTTATTCCTAGTAGATGCGAGTAAACGAATACAAAATAATAATTTAAAATGTAAAATTATGTTTGAGTCACAGACCTACAAACAAGGTCTGTAGGTCTGTGGTTTGAGTAGTAAATGATGTATTTTAAATATTTACACTGCCGCACGATATAGTTTTTTTATTGTGTATTAGTCCTTCGGAGGGGACTTTAAGCCCGCGGTCCGTTCCTACCCCTAACCCGCACAAGCCATTCAGTTGGCTTATGGGACTTCTTAAGAAGTAAGGGTGGAACTAAAAAAGCACTTTTGTATATAAACTGTATTTTTTTGCACAAATTGTTTAAGCAAGGAGGGTCAATGATATTAAATAAAAAATGTATTGTTATAACCGTAAAGGCGCCATTCAGCTTATAGGCAAGCCGTTACGGTTATAACAATAAATTTTTTATTTAATATCATCGATCCTCCTCGCAGTTAAAAAACTATATCGTGCGGCAGTGTAAATATTTAAAATACATCATTTACTACTTAAACATAATTTTACATTTTAAATTATCATTTTGTATTCGTTTACTCGCATCTAATAGGTATAAACGCATACGGCAGTGTATACACTATACTATACTATACTATAGTAGCTATTCGATGGCTAGACCGTGCGGCATTCAAATATGAAAAACTTCCCTTCTACATGTCGGGCCCACTCTAAATTTTTTTTTTATTCAAAGGTAACATAAAAAACTTGGATTTTATGCTATTTTAAAAAAAATTAAAAAATACACATTGTTTCAAAAAATGCAAAATATTGCAAAATTTCAAAAAAAAATTGCAATTTTTATTTTTTTGCAAAAACGGTATAGCCCATTAAAAAGTACGGAAAAAATCATTTAAGATGGTTAAATTGAAATATTTAATAAAGAGTTGAACAGAAGTTATGAATTTTTAAATAAAAAGCGATTTCACCAAAAAGTAAAAAATCGATAAATTTCAATAATCCATAACTCTTGAATGAACAATCCTAGAGCAAAAAAAATTTATGCTATGATTCTTCGTTATAAGAACAACAAATAAGTAAAGTTTAAACAAAATCGGTGACAAAAATTTTTTCACCTGGTACACTTGGTAAATTTTGCCCCGTATACCTATATCTCAATTATTAGATATGGGACCCACACCAAATTTATATGAGTTTATAATGACATTAAATAAACAAGTTCTGCGCAAGCAGAATTTAAATTGAAGTTTGCGAAAAAAAGATAACTTTTTGCTCGGCCGTACCGGCACCATGGCGCCCCCAATAAATAAATATATATTTATTGGGGCAATTTATTATTTACCATGGTTTATTGACAAATTTAAATATTCATTTAAAAAATTCAAATTATACAGAATTTATACCATTTTAAATTTTTAATATTTCTTTGCAAAGATATCCTTAAATCTAGTGTTTTTTGTTTCCCCTAGACAGGTCTGCCATAATTTTCACAACATTCGAATATTACCAAAAGACTAATGCAATAGGTACTTGTATTTAAGTAGAGTTTTAGTTTTTTCATCATTAAATATTTATACAATATCTGCAAGTCCTCAAAACTATTAGTGACGTCTTTTAATGTAAATACAACTCTTTGGGTTTTTGCAACATACGATAATTGAGGAGGTCCATTCCAAAACTCGGCTTATCTACTTTTTAATAAAATTAAGTTAGTGGTGTCTGTACATTTAACATATTATTCCATTTAAAATTCATTTACAAATTGACTATCGTTCCAAAACTTGCCTTATCTATTGGTTATATCATGCAGAACTCGGCTTATAGGTATGTAATTTTAAATTATTTTAAATTGGAGCTGTACTTTTTTAATCAAGGTATACAAATGTTTTACTTATGCCTATATATTTAGTTTAAAGTATTCTGTTGGCCTGATATGCGTTAGTACTCACTTGTAAGGTTTTTAACATTTTGCTCAAAAACACCTAATATTATCCAAGTTTTGGAATTGATTGCAATATATGATAATTGCCAAAACTATGTATAATATTTAACTTTCCTCCATAAAACCTTTACTTTTTCCCATAAAACACAATCGCACAAACCTTATGGTTAATTAATTACAAAGTGAGTTTTTGCAATCTATGACAATTATTGCAAAAAATATGTTGATGTTAATATTCTTTTTATTAATAAGTGTTTTTGAGTTTTTGCAATAAACGATAATTGCCAAAACTATGTATAAAATTTAGCTTTTCTCTATAAAAGCTTTACTTTTGTGAAAAAGAATATAGATTTGTTTGAAGTAGATCAAATTATTAAAAAACTAAATTTTACTTATCTTCAGAATATTGTTTAAGGTTTTTAACAAGTTACCAGAACAATTTAGAGAACTCTATTAAAAAAGTTAAAATCAAATTAAAATCAATTTTAATATATAAATCTTATTACTCAATGGAGAAATATTTTAATGATGATCTTTATCAATATTTTTTGTAATGTTATAGGTATTTAGTAGTGTATGAAACACATTAAATTTTATTTATTATTTGTCTTTCTTTTAAATTGTATTATTAATTTTTAAATTATGTTATGTACTTATCTATATTTGACGTGTTTTACACCCTCTGGTATTTTTAAAGAAATAAAGATTATTATTATTATTTACATTTTTTTCGTCCAAAAAAATTTGTTATTTTAAACAATTGTATTGCAAAAATGGTGAATGTGGCGGGATTAATACCAGTCCCTAAGTTGCATTGCTATCGCATGGCAATTTGGACCCCTTGTATAGAGTTTAATTTAAAAATATGCGTATTAACTTTAAGCATAAATTACACTGGCTGGGATATTTTTTTCGTAAAAAAACAATCACATGTGGTTTACTAGCAAAATAATCATTTTGAAAATTTTGCAATTTTTTTTGTATAGTTTGCGAATTTGATAGCGAAGATTAAACTCTTTTTCGAATCTAAATTTATCAAAATGTTCGTTATTAAATTTCCCACAACGTTCTGGGTAATTGGGATTATATCGTTGTATTAGTTTTCGACGTTAAAGTTCGACATATATGACGAAAATAAGGTTTTTGAATGAATAAGGCAAACAGCCTTGAATATAGTTTAAAATTTGCGCAATATTCTATTCTTCAAGAAAAAGTAAGAATTGTTCATAAATCGTATACGATTTATGAACAATTCTTACTTTTTCTGATTGGTCTAAATTATTTGTACAGACTAGTAGTATAATATAATTATAATTAATAATACTGCCTCAGAAATTTTTAAAAAAATTGCAACCGACCTGGGATATTCGTGTTTAAGACCAGCCGAAGAATTTTTTTTCGTAATAACCAGTTTTCTGTTTTTGATATAATTGAAAAAGTTTCTTGGTTTTGTTATCATTCAAACTAATTTATTTAACACCAATATACGAGTATCGTATAATATGCTCTCTACTAGTAGTTGTTTGTTATAACAAAATATGTTTTTAAGTTTTTTTAATTGCTAGTTAATAATAATAATAATAATAATAATAATAATAATAATAATAATATTCTTTATTGTACATAAACAAATGTTACATACAAATGGAGGACGGTTAGGTTTCCCTTTCTTCCACCGTCTCCGAAATTATAATAGTTATCAATTACAAAACTTTTAATAGTATTATTTAACTATAGAATAAACATGTACAGCGTAAGTTGAACAAAATTGAGTTTTTTAGAAAATTAAATATAAAGAGAAAGTACCTATACAATACTAAATATAAAGAAATTAAAGATATACACGGAAAAAAATAATCGGTAGAGGCTACCGATTGGCAATCGGTAGCAGCTACCGATTGCCAATCGGTAGACTTTACCGAAAAAATCGGTAGACTCTACCGATAAAATCGGTAGTCTCTACCGAAAAAAAATCGGTTCCCTCAACCGATTTTTATCGGTAGCAGCTACCGATTATTTTCGGTAGAGTCTACCGATTTTTTCGGTGCAGGCTACCGAAAAAATCGATTACCAATTTATGAAAATTTTTGTATTTTTTTAGCGAGAAGTTAAATACTCGCTTTTTATTAAATAGAAAATAGTATTGTTTTTTTGAGGTATAAATAAATTTGAAATACAAAAATATTAAAAATGAGGAGTAATTTTTATTAAATTTTTTATAATTCTAAATAAATATTAAATTAAATGTCTGGTGGTGAGATTTTTTTTTGTATTAATAAACAAGGTTCTAAATTTGGTAATTTGCTCTTATTCTTTGTCAGTATGCATACTTGATTTATAATCAATTTCAATGCAATAAGCATGATAGTGTTGATCAAAATACAATGTTTTAATCGAGAATATGAGAAAATATATACAATTATTTACACTGACTATTTTAAGTATTAATATATTTTTTTAAATTTTCTAACAGCGCATCGATGCGGATTTTCTCGGTTACGGCTACCGAAAAAATCGGTAGACTCTTCCGAAAAAATCGGTAGACTTTACCGAAAAATAATCGGTAGCCACTATCGATAAAAATCGGTTGAGGAAACCGATTTTTTTTCGGTAGAGACTACCGATTTTTTCGGTAGAGTCTACCGTTTTTTCGGTAGAGTCTACCGATTGGCAATCGGTAGCTGCTACCGATTGCCAATCGGTAGCCTCTACCGATTATTTTTTTCCGTGTACGAGAATAAATTGTACCAACAAAAGGAAAATTATTAAACTATTAGCATTTAAAATAAACAAGGACCTATTGTAGATTTAAATAAAAATTTTTAGTAAAAATTAAAAAGCTCTTTTCACCCAATTTAATGTTCAAAAGAACCCTGTTCAATAGTTTTGACGCGACAAACACAAATGACCCCTCGAATTTAATACAGTTATGATTTGGAATATTAAAAGAGTTAGTTCTAGTATTTATCTCATGTATGTCACATCGGCGTGTTAACAGACGGTATAAGTACAGAGGATTTTTATTTTTTATTAAAAAAAAAAAAAAAAAAAAATCCTCTGTACTTATACCGTCTGTTATAATGTTAGAAACTTTATTATAATATAATTCATTTTCTTTTAAATAATTTTTTAATAGGTGCAGTAAAGTAATGATCCAAAAGTTATAATTTATTTTTTTATTATCAGATTTGTTGTGCTTACCTGTTGATTTGGTATGCTAAAATCCTTAATAATTCCATTTCGGTTATCTTTATGCCTAAAACTAGAAGAACCATATTTTTTCACGTCTATTGGTCTAGGATTGACATTATAATTTTCATTAACTTCTGATTGGCCAGGATTATTAATAATGTTATTATTATTAGTATATTGAGGTTTTGGATGATTTGTGTAATATTCTTTGATGTGCTTGATTGCTGATTTGGTATTATTAAATTCCAATTTAGATGCATTTGCTAAAATAAAGAAAACATGAAAACAAATATTATTTTAAAATGCTTTTTGCCTACCCGAATCGTAGATAATAAATCCGGGCTGATCGTGGAATTGGTTCAAGGCATTAAGATGGAAAATTGTAGAGGCATTTTCTTGTTGCAAACAATTTTTGTTTAGGTTACCTAAGAGATTAAAATAATTAAAAAAAACTGGTTGTCATAACTATATATAGTTTGGTTGTTTTTACCATTATTTTGTACACATTCTGAGGTCCAGTAAACATAAGAGTCAAACCCATAACCTTCTGCGCTTAATATGACTCCGTTTATCTGAGATGTTATACTTTTTCCAGCTGCTGGGTAAATTGGTTTCCCTGATTTTCCGTCAAGAATATATGTCTAAAATGTTTAAAGTATTTTATTAAATTATCCACCTTTTAAAAGACAAATAATAAAATATAATAATAAAAGATTTGGAAAATTTTCGAAACATAAGAGGCGATCCAAGACATATCGGCCGAGACTATTTTGTCGCCATATAGAAAACATAATTTTTGCAAATATTCAAAATCGTTTTTTATACAGGGTGTCCTGAAAATGGCGCACAACGCGTTAAGTATTTTCATTACAAACAAAATTTAGTTAAAGTTTAAAAAACTTTATAACGTTGTAAATTTGATGAGCTGACCTGTTTTATAACTATCTCTTTCTCTATCTCTTTGGCACATAAACCAACCTTACACAAAAAATCGTTGAATCGGTTTTTTTAAATAAAAAATTAAAAAAAAAATTGTAAAAAGGAATAAAACTTCTTTTGGACACTTTAATTAAATTCTTTTTAATTCATAGATAATCATTGTAATGATTATCATATATGTATGTTATAAGGTTTTCTTAAAAAATTCAACAAACCGATATTTAAATTAAATGGCAGTTTTCAATTACCCAAAACATTTTCAGCTTTATTTCAATAAAGTAAAAATTTTAATTTTCTTACTTCTGTATAATGATATCCAAGAATACTGTCAAACTTTTTATATATGACCATAAAATCAGGAATATCGTCCGAATTAAAATAACCCGGAATGGGAGAAACGTTAGTCTCTCCATTTGGCACAGTGAAATTCCAAATTTGCGAAAAAGTTTTACCATCGAAAGCAACAACTGTGGAATTGTACAGTGCCATTATTATATCGAAAACATCGTCTCCTGTTATGTCAGCCAAAATTGCTTGAGTGAAAATTCCCTTGGATTTTTCTTCGTATACTGTTTTGGTGTTATTGAACTGAAATAAAATTGTTTTAGTTTAGAAAAATAAATTTATTCAACACCCATTTCATTTCTTAACTTTAACCGTTGTGAGAAATAGCATTTCGCCCACGGGCTGAAGTTAGCTTTAAGTTAAATTTGAAAAAAGTGAGGTTAAAACTAATTGACAGCTGTCAGGTAAAATATCAAATAAAATTGGCTTTACACTCATTATGGTTGTTGAATAAAATATTGTGTGCGACTATTGTTCAAAAGGGCAGATTCCACTCGCGTGTTACCTCACTCGCATCGCTCATGCGGCTCAAGGAATCTCCTTTTTCTCCCACTAGTCGCACAATATACTAATTTTTCAGTAAAATACTTTAATTCATGCAAATCAACATTTTCATTGTCATTCATTAACTCATTTATTCAATTATTTATTAATTCATTTACGCATATATTCATTAATTTAAATTTGTATGTATTCATTAATTCATTTACTTATTTACTCATTTATTCATTTATTTATTTACTCATTTATTAATTTATTCATTTATTCATTAATTCGTTTATTCATTAATTCATTAATTCATTTATTAATTTATTCATTAATTCATTTATTCATTTATTCATTTATTCATTTATTCATTTATTCATTTATTCATTTATTCATTTATTCATTAATTCATTTATTCATTTATTCATTTATTCATTTATTCATTTATTCATTTATTCATTTATTCATTTATTCATTTATTCATTTATTCATTTATTCATTTATTCATTTATTCATTTTTTCATTTATTCATTTATTCATTTATTCATTTATTCATTTATTCATTTATTCATTTATTCATTTATTCATTTATTCATTTATTCATTTATTCATTTATTCATTTATTCATTTATTCATTTATTCATTTATTCATTTATTCATTTATTCATTTATTCATTTATTCATTTATTCATTTATTCATTTATTCATTTATTCATTTATTCATTTATTCATTTATTCATTTATTCATTTATTCATTTATTCATTTATTCATTTATTCATTTATTCATTTATTCATTTATTCATAAAAACCATTGAATTATTGCATTAATTCAAAATTAATAAGTTTAGGTTTAGGTGTTTTTTTACCAGATTGTCTGTTAATAAGTCCTTCAATGGGACGGAACTTAAATTGCCTGGACTGCTTGGACTACCAGTACCGATAAGAACAACGGTACTGGTTTCATTTTGTTTTAACAACTGTGGCATAAAAAATGTTTTTGCCCCATTCGGCGTATTAATTCTTTTTATTTCCTCTCCAGTTTTGCCGGATAAAATTATCAAGTGTCCATCTTTACCTAATCAAATATAAAAACGTTACCATTAGAATATTATGGATTGCTTAAAATATGAACCTTCCAGAGCAGTGTGGGATGCCAAAATATCTGATACGTTGTCTGAATTTTGATCCGGGATAAAATTTGCGACAAAAACATTTATTTTTCCTGTGTTAAGTTGCCATATTGTCGATCCGTTTTTAGAATTTATTGTTGTTATAGTCTTGGAAGAATTTTTACATTAGTATTAAAACAATTTTTATTATAAAAAACTTACTCCATCAGCTCCCACAGCCAAACAATCGTCCTGATTGTCGGCATTTAAATCGGCGGTACAGTGCAAATTAAAAATAGTATCATTTAGCCAATGTCTCCAAATTATGTTGCCATTTGTACCGTCCAATGCTATAATACCGCCATCACATGGGTAAGGCACCCCCAAAAATATCGGACAAAAAATATCCGTTTGCATCACATTGATATTATCACCTAAAAGAAAAAACGAGTTTTTTTATTTTACTAATTACACTGTGATAGTTTTAGAAACTTTTTTTTCCTAACATTGAGTACTTCAGCTTAGTTTAACTAATTTTGGGCCACTGATTTTAAAAATGTCATTTGTTTTTCTCTAGGACGTCTAGGATTTAAAATAATTTCGTAATAAAATGCTTTGCTCAATCACCTCGAAATGTAAGTTTTTTTGTTGATATTTTAATTATTTTTTAAATTATTTTGCCTTAAATTTATCTTGAATGTACTGAAGTAATTGGTATACGGCAAATAGATCATATTTATCTTAACAATATGATATTTTAAATACTAAAACTAAAATTTTAACGTATTTTATGTAAAAACAACTATTATTTGACATTTTTTGTTGTTTATTTTAATTATTGAATTGAAAGGGCAACAAAGTAAACAAGTTTTGGTATTTTCAAAATTCAGGTAATTTGTTATATATTATTTTTGCATCAAACTTGTAAAATATATCCTTCTTTTATTAGGCTATACATACCTAACATAAAAAAAACAAGACATATTTTATAAAAGTAAAGATAATTTTAATAATTGACAGGTGTGGACGGGACAAGATAACTGCTTTTTTTGTCCCGTCCACACTTTTTAATTATTAAAAACTAATAAAAAAAGAATATTTTTCACAATTTTGATGAATTATCTACATTTTTTTTTATAAAAACAGTTTTGTAATTCGTGCGTTTCGCGCGCTAGAAATGGCCGATTTTCAAAAAAAATTGTCAAAAATTATATTTTTTAATTTAAATGACTTTTTGTAAATTTTTCAATTTTTACGTGATTTTGGGATAAAAAGTTGGTATAAGCATGGGTACGCAATTGCTTCATTTTCAAGGTACAGGATGTTAAACTTTATTTTAATTGGATCTTCGTAAATATCGTAAATATCCTTTGCCCAACTTGTTGTTATTTTATACACGGAGAGAAAAGTATAATGCTGATTACCATAATTTTAATACCCTTTACTAAAATTGGGACAACTATATTGTATATTGCCAGATACTATGCATATTTAGTAAGTTTTAAATATCCTTTAGGTAAAATATTATTATTCTCAACCAATTTTGTTTTTAATTCTTATTATAAATAGATTTTTTCCATTACTAATAAGTATAGTAAATTTTAAAATATTATGTTGCCATTTTAAATATAAAATATTTTAAAATCGAATATTTTTATATGTTAACAATTAAAAATTGTAACAAATTTATTGTACTTTTTAATATACAAAAATGTTATGAGAAAGAATTGAACCTACACCTCGACAAAGTTTTTTGTTTTGAGTGCTTTTCATCAACTTCAAATACCGAAAAACAGGTGTTTTGACCTATATTGGGTATCATCAGTGTCAACACGACACTGTCGAGCAACTTGTAGTAGTGGAACACACCCAAAACAAAGAAATACCTGAGCTTATATAACATGGTTGGTAAGCCAACAGAGGCGAGATGTCTAACGACGTGTCGCGACGTGGCCTTCGCCGCAATCGGTACATACTATGCAACCAAGTACTTAGGTTCAATTCTTTCTTATAAGTATTACCAGTATTGGGTCAAGAAAGTTTATTGAAGAAACTAAGAAAATTGAATGTTTAAAATGTTACTATATTGTATATTATATTTAAATATATTGTTTATGTACCTTAAACATAAAAGTATCTTTATTCTTATTATATTTTTTATTAATGTGTAATATATTATAATATTAGATGTACACCTTACATTTGATTAAATCATATAATAAATATTATTATTTGTAGATAGTAAAATCAATTTACTATACGAACATATTAAAAATTAAAATATATATTATACATTTATGATTTAGTAATATTGGTGTTGTAATCTTTACTAAAATTGTATAATAAAAAATAGTATTTTGTATTACAATCTTAATATTGTATTGACGAATATAAATGTAATATTGTTACCCTAAAAATTAGTTAAAGTAAATTTTACTATATTTTTTTACTATCTAAAATTTACTATACATTTCTCTCCGTGTAGTTGTTATTTTGCAATCACGCCTTGGATACGAGATATGTAAATGCATCCATAACAACCGATGCGTAATAAGAGGGCGTACTGGATAACATTATTTTTTTAGTTTTTCAGTAATGAGAGGGCGTAATGGATTCATTATTTTTTCAGTTTTATGTGAAGTGAAAAATAAAATCTTGTATCCACACAAGCACACGCATATATGCCTTTCTGATTTGATGACCTCCATATTTGAATGATTAATCCCGGCACATTCGCCATTTTTTACACTTTCAAATAAATTCATCACAGATTATGAAAATAATTGTATAATGAATGTGTTTAATATTCCGAAGACAGATAGAAAAAGTAAAACTACATCGAGAGTATACACTCACACATTAAAAAACAAAAAATACCTGGGCGATTCCTCTGTAGAAGAATAAATATCTAAACTTAATAATATTTGATTGGTTGATACTACTCTTCAGAAAGTAAAACCCCACATATCGTCCCAATTATCACATGAGGGCGTATCCCATATTTAACAATTTTACAGAGCATTTTAAAAATTGAAGTTTTTACCTAATTTAAATTATTTTATGAAAAAAAATGTGCTCTAGGTCACGGTGTGCCTGAACAAAGTTTAAGTCACATAAAAATGCCGCCAAAAACTGATTGAAGTTTCTTGTCCGGGACCCGGTGACTTAAAAATGATATTTACCAAAATCCTAGCTGCTTCTCTTTTCGAAATTTTTTGAAAATTCATGATTTTTTTTAATTTTTGTTTATCTCAAAGGTACATTTGACAGAGTACAAATTTTTACACCGATTTTTATAAAATTTGAGTATATTAAGTTAATTATTTTTTAATACTGTTCACATCATTTGATATATACAGGGTTAGCCAAAAATCGCATATTTTTAATAAAGCAAAAGCGTAAATTCATGTGTTTTTGCATAACAAGCAAAGATTTATCCCCAATTTTTTTTAGATATTTCTACGTTTATCAAGTTACAAAATGGCATTCTTATTAACCTTTTATAAGAAAAATAGATTTTTAATACAATTTAGGCTTTTTAGTAGTTATCAATTTTGAACGAAAAACTGGTTGAAGTTTTTGGTAATTTAAAAACGATATTTACCAAATTATTTGTTTATCGCAAAGTCTACCTTTGCCAGAGTACACATTTGTACACCGATTTTTATTGGAGTATATTGTTAACGAGACTTAAAGAATTCTGTTTCCATACTGAGCACATCATTAGATTTATGCAGGGTTAGCCAAAAATCACTTTTTTATATAGTAAAAAGCATAATGCACAAAAATTTTTAGATATTTTTATTTTATAACAACGCTTTGAGTTTCCTTTATACTTTTGAGTTTTGCAGGTAACAAATATTGACAACTTGTTAGGAATAAGTAAATTAATTAAAAATATAATTTGTATTTTTATATAAAGTTTAAGTTGTAAGAAGTCATCAGAAACAAAAGCCTAAATTAAACAATATTTTAAATATTCTCGAAGCGTTATTTTATTTAATTTTATTCAAAATCAATTTTCCTTATAAAGGGTTAATAACAATCCCATTTTTTAGTCTGATAAACATAAAAATATTTTAAAAAATAGGCATATATCTTTTTGCGTGTTATGCCAAAATCATAAATTTACGCTTTTGCTTTATTAAAAGAAGCGATTTTTGGCTTACCCTGTATATATCAAATTATGTGCACAGTATAAAATTGTATTCTCCAAGTCTCCTTGACAATATACTCCAATATTATAAAAATAGGTGTACAAATGTGTATTGTGTCAAAGGTAGACTTTAAGATAAACAAAAATTAAAAAAAAAATCATGAATTTTCAAAAAATTTCGAAGATAGGATCAGCTAGGATTTTGGTAAATATCATGTTTAAGTCACCAAAGGGTGAACAAGAAACTGCAATCAAGTTTTGGCGGCATTTTTATGTGACTTAAACCTCGTTCAGGCACACCGTGATAATTTAAATTAGCTAAAAACTTTCAATCTTTAAAATGCTTTGTAAAATTGTTAAATATGATATACGCCCTTATGTGATAATTGGGACAATATAGGTAACTACAGGTCCATTGGCCTACAAGCAAGCATATACAAACTGTATTCATCTATGTAAAATAGACTGTATATTATTTAAAAAAAAACATAAAATATTAACAACTTGAAACCGATAGAGCAAGCAGGCTTACGATGACGTTTTAGCACCATTGACCACATACAGACAATAGAACAATTAACAGAAAAATACTGAGAGTAACTGACCTCTTTATGTCGCTTTCTGCTTAATCTGGAATGCCCTACAACTTTCAAATGTTGACAAAAACTACATTAACATGTTTAAATATATTTACGAAAATAGTACAAGCAAGATAAAACTGGAAACTAGAAACCAGGGCTTGAAATATATTCCTGACTGGTCACAAAAAGGCGTTATAGTTAACGGATGCTATCTAAATCATCTTAGGTTCGCTGATAACATAGCCGAAACATCTAAAAGAAATTATGAGATCACTTGACCATAAAAGCTCCAAATTTGGTTTGGAAATTAATGCAAATAAAACTAAGGGAATGTAATCTCCATAAAAGACCTAGGTATCATAACAAAGGGAAATAATATAGAATATTATGAAAGCAGTCCAGTAACGAGGAAATAGTAAAGAGAAGAATAAACGCAACTTGGAATTAATTTTAGGCACTGAAGTAAATTCTAAATAGGTAGTTTACATATATAGAAAGAATAGTAGTTGGTATCTTGCCCTAATTATTATACGTTTGCCAAACTTGTGTATTAGTCCAGTCAAACCGTCTTTTGACCTTGCGTGTAATATATGAGGGCCGAGATATTCGCTAAAAATGAAAAAAATGTATTTTTACTTATATCTTTGTAAGAAAAATTGGTCAGGTGGTGCAAATTTGGTTTTAAGCTTTTTAGAGGCCCCATATAAACTTATGAAAAAAACAGACAGTGTCTAGGCACTCATCTCAAAATATGGTCCAGTCAAATCGTATTGGAGATATTATAAATAAAAACCATCTTCAGGTTGTAGCTCCAATAGAAAGCATTTCTTCTGCTGTTAAAGTATTGCACGTTAATTATGGGACACCCTTTAAATTAACCGTAAAATAGATAAATAGTTTAAGAACCTATTACGCGTGTTACGAGAAAACCATTTAATACTTCCAGCTTAAAGTATTAAGTATGTACTTTAGCTAAATATGCTTACCTGTTCCAAAACCAAATATTACATCCTGAAACCCGTCATTATTAACATCTAGCAGTCTAACAGGCGATTCACTCGTTAGTTTTGGCAAATTAACAGACCAAACGTTATTCACTTTAAAATTATTACAAGGCAACAATTTTGGAGCTTTAGCCTCTCCTTCATTTGATTTTCTTATTATCCAATCTCTCAGTCTATCCAATGGTAATGGAAAAATGGATACTAATACAACTACCAACACTATCAAACCTAACAAATAAAAATAAAAAATGTTACGTTTTAGCTAGGTAATGGAAAATCCTACAGTTAATGTTTAATCCCGGTGCATTCGCCATTTTTTAAACCACTTTAAAAGTTATTTTTAAATCTCAGAATAACAATTTTAATTAAAAAACGTATTTTTTAAAACTCATTTGCTCTCCTAGTTTTAAATATTTCATAACAGTAGAAGTTTGGGTTTATAATTACCTATTAAAACGCTCAATGCTACAAAAACGTAACAACAAGGTTTACAAAATGCTCTACATGGTGGTTTATTTTTTAATTTCAAAGTTATGTTCTGTTTGGGTCTTCTTCTTGGAGCCATTAAGGGTCTTTTTACGTTTAATTCTTCGGCGAGCTAGAATAAAATTTTTTAAATATATTAAAAAAATATTCAGTTAATGATTTTGATTCGCTTATTAAATTTATGTATAAAAATAAACCGCAGACAATACAAGCAAAAACTAAACTAAATAATTTAATATAAATAGGTAAATATATTCATACACAATACAATACTATAAAATAAAATATACAGCGTGTCCCGATATTTTGAATATAATTTATTCTTTACTGGATGAAACTTTCTTCAGCCAGGATATACAAAATCGGGATAATATACACCATATCTGCTCACCATTGCTACCATTTTAACTCTGTTATTATTAGAGCTACACAGTCAGTTAGATTAGCAAATAGTTTTAATTTTTTCTTCCGATTTAAATCGTAAAAACAGAAAAACAATTGAAAGGCAAGTTTCCGAAATATTCACAAAAATATCATTATTTTAAATAAGACACCCTGTATATTTTTACATATTTTAAAAGACAATTTAATTTTGAACAAAAAAGTATTATTACATAACTACCCTAAACCTAATCCTAAAGTACTTAAACTTTTTGAAGGTCGTTAAAATACATTAAGTAATAATTTGGTTAGTTCAACAACCATCAGAAAGTTCAAGTGCTTATTAATTGTTTATTTTTAAGTATAGGCAATAATAATTTTTGGTTTCAAAAATTTCGGAAACCCGACTTAAGTGACCAGATTCTGTCAAAAAATAGAGGGACATTTTGTATGAATTTACCTTAATTACAAAATTGACACAATGATACAAATTGTAAATTTGACGTTACTTGATTATTGTTAATTGTGTCATTTTTGTAATTAAGGTTAATTTACACAAAATGTCCCGCTATTTTTTGAAAGAATCCTTTCACTTTAAACCCGACGTTTAATTGTTTTTCTGTCACCATTTTACTCAGAAGAAAATATATCACTAACTTTCTAAAAAAAATTCAAATTCCTTGTAAATTTACAAGGAATTTAAGAACAAGGCAAAATCGTTATTTATTTATTAAAAAATTATATAAATTAGCAACAATGATGACGATGACGATGGTGACGAATATCACGATAATGAGAAATTTATTGCGCAATGCATTGGTTTCTTATAATATAATATAATATAATGTAATGTAATGTAATTTAATATAATATAATATAATATAATATAATATAATATAATATAATATAATATAATATAATATAATATAATATAATATAATATAATATAATATAATAAACAAATAAATTTTTCTAAATTTTTGTATGTAACGTGAATGTCAATACTTAATTTTAATTTTTCTTTCAGCGTCAAAAATCTCGAGCCTATAGGCGATGATCATTTGGTAAATTTATAAATTTAAATTTTTTATTTTTGAAAGGTTATTAGGAAATTGTTTGTCTTTTATTTAAATAAATATTAAAATAATAAAAATAAAATCATTTATAAAATTATTCATCAATTGTTTTTTACTTAAAATAATAATAATAAATGGGTTTCGGAACACCCTGTATAAATGTATTTTCCAAGACAATATTTTTTAATCTAGGTAACAGTAAAAAAATCGGGTATGCAAAAATTAAACTTGCAAGTTTAATTAAAAAATTAATATTGGTCATTGTTATCAACGATAATTTGAAATAGGTAAATATACCTAGGTATACTTAGGTAGGTACCTACTTTTGCCGTTATCTTGAATATTTAATAATAATTTAACAAAATGTATTTAACATAACATAAGGTAGGCAAATTTGAATTGAATCGAGTTCAATGTACTAACTTTGTATCCGTTCTTTCCATCCCTAATAAAAACTTCATCTTCAACGTCACTTAAATCATCCTCGTCCAGAGAGATACTTTCTCTAACTTCGCCGCCTAATTGCATCCCAGGATATGTTGTCATTTTCATTTGTTCGGATTTTTTAAAAACCACCATGTTTCTTGATTAATTTTACTACCTAACACTCTAAATTACATCTACCCAACTCTGTTTTAAACTTGTTCTTAATTTATTAACGAACTAAATTTTAGAGCTATCAAAATAAAGTCTATTATTACAATTACAAACATATGTTTTGAGAATAGCGTGGTTCCTGCTATTGCACAAACTCTGTTTTATTGATTTCACCAGTTCCGACAAATGCCGCTATTTCTTGCAGGAAGCAGGATGATAACTTATCTACCAGAAGCTTCTGGTAGCTTCTAATAAGTATCTCGATTGTTTTATTAATACTTTACTGTTACTAATACCTAATTAAAACAAAAAAAATTCCAATTAATGAATTTATTATTATCTAATTATATTATAACCTATACTTAGGTATATTGGCCTCCATAGGGCAACGGATTGTTAATAAACAATTTATTTATTCTTTTCTTGACGATTTAATATTTTTCTTATTTTAATAAATATACAAATAGATCTAATTCTATAGAATGCGTGCATGCCTAGACCATTATTATTTCATACATTTTAAAAACGTCTGTAACGCCACTGGTTTTCTGATAGACATATTTTTAATAATTTATCACCTTTTTGACACCTACGTCTCTGGTTTTTGTTGTTCAGTTGTTGCTTTAGACACTACTTAACAAAATTATAGTTTTTTAAATTCAGTGATTTCTCCAAAATGTAAAGTTCATTAACCATTTTAGGTAGCTTGGGATGTCTGAAAACATATTATGGTGTGTAAATGTTAATTTAAGAAAAGCAGAGTACCATTAAATAGGAGATAACCTAAAAAATGAATCCAATTTACGATTTTATCCAAAGAAATCGAGTACTAGCCAAAATAGAGAAAGCACATTCGACGAAAGCACCTAATTTAGCGATAGATGATTTTGATTTAACGACTTTTCCTGAAATACTGCTAAATTGTCATGAATTACATTCATTAAATATCGGGCACAATAAGATTTCTGTATTGCCATTGGACTTGGGTAATTTGAAGAATATTCAACATTTATCTTTAGAATACAATAGAATTGATAAATTTCCAGAAGTTATAAAGGAGTTGCAGCATCTAAAAAGTTTGAATTTGTGTAATAATCCTATACAAGACTTAACATGTGTGATAGGAAGTTTAAAATCATTGGAAATATTATGGTGCAACAACTGCTGTCTAACATCTTTACCACCAGAAATTGGAAACTTAAAAAAACTGGACACTTTCGGAGCTAGACATAATAAAATCAACAAACTTCCTAACGATATATGTAACTTAGAAAACCTTAAATGGCTTACTCTTGAAGATAATATTATATCCATTATACCTAAAGACTTTGAAAAATTACAAATGTTGGTACATTTAAATCTAAATAAGAACAATCTTAGTTATATTCCTAATTGTTTTTCTCAAATGAAAAATCTGAAATACCTGCATATGCAAAGTAATGAACTATTTACAATTAATGAAATGATGATGGTCAATATTACACACGTTAAAATTAATTTATTAAAAAATCCAATTTCTACCAGTAATGAGTTGGACAAGGTAAATATATTGCACATTTCAAGTATAATAGCTATATAAATATATATATATATTAATATATTATAGTCTATTAGGTACCTACCTATACAGTTAAGTAATTTAAATATTTTTAGTTGTTTCCAAATATAATTTTACCAGGCAAAGAAAATCAAGTTTTTGACGAATTATCATCAGATTCAGATTCATCTTCCGATGATTGGGAAAACAGTATTGACAGTTCAGATTTGAATTATTCTGCAACTGAATCAGAAAGTGATGATGAAGAGTGTTTAATTGAAATACCCAAATTATCCAAATATCTTGTTACTTTTTAACTAACCAATAATTATTTATTTTACAAGTAGATAACTAAAAATTGTAAAGCTATAGAGTTTATTTTTATGAAATGTATATCCAATCATGTAGGGGTTTCAGGGGATGTTTAAATTTTTGTAATTTAGTAAGTATTATTTATTTTTTTCTATAGTGTTATGTTTTTTTTAACTGAAATTACTACAAATGTTTAAAAACTGACTGATTTTTTTTAATTGGCATGATTATTATTGCTTGTGATAATTTATTTTTGTAATAAACATAAAAATAAAAAAATTGTTTTATTCAAATCCCCCATTAAAATTGTTTAGTAGAAGTTATTACATTTTTTATTTACAGAAATGAACTATGTCCAGAACCTAAGGAAATCAGTCTGGCAACACCGCACGTTATAAATTTGAACTAAAAAGGGAAAATGGCCTCCAAAGAATACAATATGGCTTCTTTACAAATTGTTAATTGCAAATAATAATTTAATAAAGAAAATACTTACCTAAACCACATTATATTTAAGTAATATACCTAATTAAATAAATCTGGGCTAGATTATCTAGCGAGTTGCTAGTGGCAACACGTGAAGTAGAATGTCAATTATTTGATTTTTTTCGTTTATAGGTTATGATTGAAAGAAACCCTTAAATTTGTATTTTTAAATAAAAACAATGGAAAATAACATAGAGGAAAGTAACAATAGAGATGGTAAATTTGAAGGTATATTTATTTAATAATTCCTATTATAATATGCACCAAAATAATTTAAAACATTTTAGATGTAAAATCTTCAGAAAATAAAGATATTGATGAAATTGAAGAGGAAAAAAATAAAGTAAAGGAAAAAACAGAGTTGGCATCAAATTATGATGAAAAAAATGTTCACTATGAAGGAGATATAGCTATATATACAGATACTGCAACAGGGTATCGTTATCAATGGGACAAGGAAAAAAATGAGTGGATAGCTGCTTCAAATGTAACATATGGGTTTGAGGACGACACGCACGTTTACACAGATGGAGATGGCGTGAAATTTTTTTGGGATAAGGAAAAAATGGCTTGGTTTCCAAAGATTGATGATGATTTTATGGCAAGGTATCAAATGAACTATGGGTTTATTGAGCCTGAAAAAACTGAAGAAAAACCCAAGAAAATCGAAGAACCTAAGGAAGAATTACCCAAAAAACCTAAAGGTGAGAAGAGGAAAGCCACTGAACCAACCTGGTTTCAAGTTGATGAACAGCAGAATACCAATGTGTATGTATCAAATTTACCAACTGATATAACAGAGCAAGAGTTTGTGGATTTGATGCAAAAGTGTGGGCTGGTTATGAGGGACCAGCAAAATGGCAATTTTAAAGTTAAATTGTACAAAGAACAAGGTACTGATATTTTAAAAGGTGATGCTCTTTGTACTTACATCAAAGTAGAATCAGTTGATTTAGCTCTTAAATTAATAGATGGTAGTGATTTTAAGGGCCATAAAATATCAGTTGAGAAAGCCAAATTCCAAATGAAAGGCGAGTATGACCCCAAAATGAAACCAAAAATGAAAAAAAGAAAAGATAAACTGAAACTTAAAAAACAACAAGAAAAACTATTTGATTGGCGACCAGAAAAAGTTGCAGGGGAGAAAGCAAAACATGAGAGAGTTGTCATTATTAAAAACCTATTTGATCCAAACATATTCGATACTGATGTCAGCCTTATATTGGAATTCCAACAAGATTTACGAGAGGAATGTGCAAAATTGGGGGAAGTTAAAACAGTAAAAATCTTTGATAGACACCCAGAAGGAGTTGCTCAAATAAATATGAGCAATCCTGAGGAAGCAGACGAAGTGGTAAAATTATTGAATGGGAGGTGGTTTATGAAACGCCAATTATCTGCAGAAATTTGGGATGGTAGAACCAAATTCAGAATTGCTGAAACAGATTCCCAAATCAGCCAAAGGCTTGATAAATGGGATGAATTTTTAGAGGAAGAAGATGATTCCAAAGATAAAAAAACAGATAAATGTGCCTAAATAAATATTACAAATCAATAATTTGGTTTCTATTTTTTTTTTTTAACCCAACTTACACAATAACACGTTGAGAAAGAAATTCGATCATCGACAATCCTGCTTTCTATTTTTAAAATTAAAGGAAGAAAATAATTCTTACTTGGAACCATCCTTTCTGTTGGTAAAAGGCATAAGGGGATAAGTCAAAAAAAGCCATTTTTCAGTAGAAAAAAACGTATTCGCATTAATTCAGGAAACATATTTATGGTTAGCAGGTATACCCTTTTGTTACCACATGTCATATGCTAACAAAAGCGTATACCCGCTAAACATAAATATATTTCCTGAATTAGTGCGATCACGTTAAAGGCTATATTGAAAAATTCCTTTTATTGACTTATCCCCTTATGCCTTTTACCCACAGCTTTGAACGGGTACGCCTCGATGCATCGAAACTCAATAGATCGAATCTCGCCAGATCGAAAATTTACATGACCTTCGAAGCTCACCAGATCGAAAATGTGTGGCAACGTCTCTTTTGAAACGTCAAAGGCTTAAGGCTTTGTTCACATGTTTTATACAAAAAACGTATTTTCTTAAATGAGATCTACCTAAGTCGTTTTTTCGCGTAAATACTATGTAATACTACGGTTAAATAAGTCATGACGTCACAGTTAATTCATATAACCATGGTTAGGTTTCTAACATTTGACATTTGTTTACTTGTTCATAACCTATAATTTTTGAAATGTGTTTTTACCTATTTATATTTAATTTCTATGCTTTTACCGGTGTAAATAAATTTCTTTGCCTCTTCTTATACCTAGTATATTCTTTTTCTATAGGTATGTACTAGTTTTTTCAATACACGTTATCTAATTCTCCTACATGTTTCATACAAAATAAGGAAGAATATAAAACAAACCTGCATATAATTCCTCCACTTGTGGAGATTCCACAATATGGAGCACCCTATCATTTATTTTTACTGACAACACCCCGTTTACCATTTTAATACAAAATTTAAATTGTACCCACTTAAAATATTTTAAATTTCAAATGTAAACAACTTTTTGACAGATCGAAACAGAGAAAAATATATATTAAAAAGAGAAAAACTATTAACCACGTTGAATAACTAGCTCAGCGATATAGTTTTATGGTCTGGTATTTGTGACGTCATAGTTAGGATTTTTGAACGCACTCTAAACGCCAAAATGCCTTAACTATTAACCAAGGTTAAGTTTAATAACCATAGTATTTCATGGTATTTACGCGAAAAAACGACTCTACTTTCGTTCAAACAAGATTTCGGTCAAAGAAAAGTAGTATACATCTGAACCAGAATCTGGCAGATAGGTATGCAATGATATTAAAAATTGTGGTGGAAAAGGTAATCTAATGCTGGTCATTTGGGGATTATTGGGAATGAACGGGCGGATTCTATTGTCAAAGCAGCATCAAACAAAAGTACAGATAAATATAAAATCCCCTTCTCAGATTTATTTTTAATATCGGAAAATTTATATATAAATTAATAATTATTGGAATAAATTTTGGAAAGTGTTGTCAATGTATAAGGAGAATAACCATACATATTCCTTGCAAATAAATCATGGAAAATGCATGGTTTTATAAATAAATATTAATATATTAATATATACTATAATATATATAATATATAATATAATATAATAATATATAATATATACTATAATATATGGGGTATTCCATACCAAATCGACCACTTTTGAACCCGACCCCTTTAGATTTTGCTGAAACTTTTCCATCCTTTTCTACCCTTTGAAAAACATTTTTGAAAATTTTTTCAAATTTTTTTGTCCAACCTCAAAAAAGTTATGAATTTAAAAAAAAATGGCTTTTTTATTTTCAAATAGCCATAACTTTTTTAGAAATTGACTTTTGGGTACCTTTTTTTTTAATTTTTGTTTTTGAATGAACTTTTCAAAAAAATACACGAAAAAATACACAAAAAAAATTTAACATGATCAATTATATAAAATAATCGTTTTTTTTTAGTAAAATCGTCATTTTTTCGAAGTTCGCCATTTTTTTTTTTTGTTTTTTTTTTCTCAAAAAAAACTTCAATTAATTTGACAACTATCCCCGCTAATCCCGGAGTGGGCCGATTTTTTTTTGTATTTTTTTAATTTATTTAAAAAAAAATTGTCAAAGAAAATTCGACAATTTTTTTTTAATAAATAAAAAAAAATTTAAAAAAAATCGGCCCACTCCGGGATTAGCGGGGATAGTTGTCAAATTAATTGAAGTTTTTTTTGAGAAAAAAAAAACAAAAAAAAAATGGCGAACTTCGAAAAAATGACGATTTTACTAAAAAAAAACGATTATTTTATATAATTGATCATGTTAAATTTTTTTCGTGTATTTTTTTGAAAAGTTCATTCAAAAACAAAAATTAAAAAAAAAGGTACCCAAAAGTCAATTTCTAAAAAAGTTATGGCTATTTGAAAATAAAAAAGCCATTTTTTTTTAAAATTCATAACTTTTTTGAGGTTGGACAAAAAAATTTGAAAAAATTTTCAAAAATGTTTTTCAAAGGGTAGAAAAGGATGGAAAAGTTTCAGCAAAATCTAAAGGGGTCGGGTTCAAAAGTGGTCGATTTGGTATGGAATACCCCATATATAATATTAATATATACTCATATGCATGGTTTTATAAATAAATATTAATATACTCATATTGTGAGTTACGTGTAAGGGGCAATTCATTAATTACGTAAGGGTCCCGATGTGGGAGGGGGGGGTTCTCAAAATCTCTCCATACCCTTATCTCGGGGGAGGGGGGCTAAAAGCCATTCTTATCATTTTCTAAAACCAGATAAAATCTTACGTAAGAAGGGGGAGGGGGAGTCCGAAAAATCTTATGTGATCTTACCCGGACAACAATCGGGATTTCCTGGTGAAGTCATGATGATATCACAACGTGATTTTTTTTATCACGCTGTGATATCCTGAGTGCATACACATGCTTCATCACAGTGATATCATGTAGAACTCACGGTGTGATATTTGCAAAATTTGCGCATGCGTATGAGCCCTGCGAACTGCGAATTTAATACCTAGTTTGTTATTCACATTACACCGTTATAATTTATAAAACGTTGTTTGAATATCACGAATGTTTTCCGGGTTCAATTAAAAAAGATATTCCAATGTTTAACAAAACGTGAATGTTTTGTTAAACATTGGAATATCTTTTTTAATTGAACCCGGACAACATTCTTGATATTCATACGAACATCATGTCGTGATTTTCACAAATTTTTTTCATACTGATATCATACGGAAGTCACCGCGTAATAAATGAAAATCATACGAGCGTCACGTCGTGATTTTCACAAATTTTATTTACATTTAATATTTTCTTGGATGTAAATTAACTAATAATTTTAATCCAAAAAAATATTGAATGTATTTAACCACAAAAACTGTTGATTCAATATATATGTAGTCTCAATGTACGAATGTGGCGCAAAAATAAATATCCAAACACCAATGGCATAAAAAATCACGACATGATTTTTTATGCCATCGGTGATTGGTCATAAAAAATCAAGACATGATTTTTTTTGCATTCGGTGGATATTCATTTTTGCGACACATTCGTACATTAAAAGAACAAGTATGTTAACAATTGAATCAACAGTTTAACATTCAATATTTTCTTGGATTTAAATTAACTATATAAAGTTAATTTAAATCCAAGAAAATATTGAATGTATTTAACCGCAAAAACTGTTGATTCAACATAATTTTTCTCTTAATGTACGAACGTAGCGCAAAAATGATTATCCAAAAACACGACATGATTTTTTGTGCCATCGGTCAATCGCAAACAGCGATGGCATAAAAAATCACGACATGATTTTTATTTCTCACGCAGTGACATCCGGATGATGTCCGTATGAATAAAATTTGTGAAAATCACGACGTGACGTTCGTATGATTTTCATTTATCACGCGGTGACTTCCGTATGATATCAGTATGAATAAAATTTGTGAAAATCACGACATGATGTTCGTATGAATATCACGAATGTTGTCTGGGTACATGGGGACAGGGGGGTCAAAAATGGCCAAAATCGTCCTTACGTAATTAATGAATGGCCGCTAAGTGTAACTTGGTGTTATATCCAGGACTCATGGAGGGTTTTTTTTTCTATGGAGTAGGTACCTATACGTATGCTTTAACTAATTGGTTTTTTACTTTTTTCTGTGATGTATTTAAAGATGTAGGTATTATCTTTGCTTCAATGTAGGTATATATATATATAAACTCAAAGGGTATACCCTATAGGTATACCCTATAGGTATAGGGTATACCCTTTGAGTTTTTCTGTACAGATTAACCTGAAGGGTAAATACACCCCTTGCGGCCTTGAGTTCACGGTTTATTCACCGTGAATTCACCGTGAATAAACCGTCTGTTTGTGACATTTGTAAACGGTAGTTAGACGGTGAATTCACGCACTTTTCACAGTATTTTAATTGTGAATCCACCGTATTTTGGCGGTTTATTCACGGTGAATTCACGGTGAATTCACAGTGAATTCACGGTGAATTCACTGTGTGCAAAAAACACATGTGCATTGCAATCGACTATAGCTAGCCATTATTCGTTACTGAGCAGATGAGGATGGAGATGGGGACTTCAAACAATTAATGTTCAGCTATGTCATTACAGACGCACACTTCCAACTAAATATTGCAACCCAACGCTATTTATAGTTAGCTCGCTTGCGTAAGCAGCCGTGAGATGTATTGCTTAAATCGCTTAACACACTTACAATTTGCGGTGTTATCACAGTCAATTTACGGTGTTTTCACAGTAAACTCACAGCGCTTTTACGGTGAATTCACGGTGATTTCACGATAAATTTACGGTACTTTCACAGTGAATTTGCGGTGATTTTGCAAACTTGAGTTCACCGTGAATTTACTGTGAAATCACCGTGAATTAACCGTGAAATCACCGTGAATTTATCGCAAAAACAGCGT